CTTGAAATTTTATAGGCTGAATTTTCATACCTCCACTGCACTTAGCACACGTGGCTATCAAATCTTTAAGTAAAGCATCATTATTTTCTTTAGAAACTAGGAAAGACAGCTCCACTTTAAGCCTTTTCAAATTCCTTTAGCCCAGTATTGACAGTCCTGTTTCGCTAACTAAAAATTCACAAGGTATGTATGAAGAATTATCATCTCTTGTTAGCAAGGATGAATTCCTTAACCTTTTGGTCATTTCGACGAGTCATCTTATGAAATTTCGCCCTTTCACGGCATTCAAAACTAATGCACTTTACACGATTTAATAATAACTCCTTAATAGTTGCATAAGGAAGTGAGATAGGTTTTTCTGGATATGCCAAATTTTCAATTAGCTGTATGCTTCTCTTCCGATGAATGTCAGGAAATGTGCCACAATTTTATCACCTTTAACGTCCTTCTTGGTCACGTTCCAAATTTCAAACCTTTCGAAATAATCCTCAAAATCTTCAGAAGTTGAATGAATATCTAACTGTTCCAACGCAGGCTCCATCGCGACGCCAATGTGATAATTAGGAGTAATTGAATTATAGTATGAACTAAGAATCCCAGAAATAACGCAATTGAATCAAGAAGTACTACACATGCACTAACGAATGTATTGTATTTAGAATTCAAAATCAAACATCCAACAAGTACAAAGCAATCATTAGTTTATTCAAACACCACACTAGTGCACCTGTAAAGCAAAGCAGACCGCATGACACCATAAAATGAAAAAAATAATTATTATACGAGACGAATCCGAAGTGGTTGTGGGCATGGAATACCGTGATTAATACTTTGAGAATAAGTTAAAAAAGATAAATCGTACAACAGTCCATATTTCCTAGGACATGGAAGCAAAGTAACAAAACAACAAGCGAGAACAAAGGGACCAGTTGATTCACACCAGTTCCCCATCCAAGTGTACACAAAATTGTTTATTGAGAGATTTGTAATGTGTCAAAGGAGATATTGTTCAATCCACAACCAATGCTTCATCAATAATGGAGGACAACTGTAGTAAAGCCCAAGTACTCTCAGAATGCTCTATGTATATACCGTATAAACACCCTTCCCGTCAGTCCATACAAATCCCTCCGCACACCCTGGACAGCGTGACCATTAAATAACTCAATATCTTTTATCTGATAAGTAAGCTTGATATAAGCAAATCCATGGAATCCGAAAAACCGCATCTTAGGTTACAAAAGGAACTAGTAAACTTCGTTGCGAACCCCTTAGGTATGAGTTTTCATCTATCGTAACCCAGGGTTGATTATCGAAAGACAGGAATAACGTCATAGGAAGTCATATCTTCAAAAACAGGCTCGAAACATAAACATGATAACGAACGATTCTTTGGCTTACCAGAGTGGTTTTTAAAATTTTGGAAAAGATTAATCGGAAGGAGCTGTTTGAGTATGTCGATGAAAACCGGATTGTTTCGGAAAAGCAGCATGGTTTTAGAGAAGGTTATTTCCGTCTCAGTAGCCTATCGATGGCGCGCTCTTAAAGTGTGAAGGTTGCCAATAGACGTAGTGTACATTGATTTCGGCAAAGTCTATGACAAAGTCATGCACAACCGACTGTTATATAAATTAAGAAATGTCGGGGGTGGGGGCAATGTATTCATGTGGATAAAGGACTTCCTAGTTGGGCGCCAACAAAGTGTGCAGGTGAACTCCAAGCTGACTAGCTGGGAAACAATTTTTAGCAGAGTGAACTAGGGTACAGTTTTGGGGCGTGTTATTCCTGGTCGGTTCTAATTTATGTAGACGATGTCAAGATACGGGAAGCGACATGAAGTAAAGGTGACAGTTTTAGCTTTAAAATGACTTGGAAAAATTACCTGGATGGTCTCAAAATTGGCGGTTGTTGACAGATACATCCAAATGTATTTTGGTGCATAATGGTCAACAAGGTACAGATACGTACATGGTGAATAACACTAAATTACCTGTTGTGAAGACACAAAATGACTTGGAACTAATCGTTTGTCAAGACCTAAAGACTACTGAGAACTGTCGTGCGATACCCGTCAAGGGTCTTAGAACCCTACGGTAAATACATAGGGCCTTAAGCCATGTTAACGTTAAAAACTTTATGACCTTATACACAAAATTCGTGCGTCCTAAACTTAAGTACTACGTACAAGCAGCTAGCTTGTGCATAAAAAAGGCAGTGAGCTTTTGGAAAAGGTACAAAGAACGGCAATTAGGCTGATTCGCGGGATAGCGAAACTCCCGTATGATGCCTGACTGGCTAAACTAAACATATTCACATTGTCACGTAGAATAACCAGAGGTGACTTGCTTACAGTTTTCAAAAGAGTTAGTGATAAATTTGCATATGATATGCGCTAATTTTTCCTGTCTTTCAAAGCAGAGAATTTACGAAGACACAAAAAAGTTCACAAGCTCAGGACAAATTACTTGCCAGCTGCCTATCGACTTTCCCATCGAATTATTTATCTCAGCAAGTGGTTGAAACTCCATCTGATGACTTTTTCAAAAACGTTGGATCAACTACAAGACTAACATTACAAAAACTAACACAGGAAACTCTTGTCTCCTGTATTTTGAAGACTGATACTGAATGAGGTCTTTGTTTGTTCGTATCACTACATTAGTAAGTTTGTCGTACACTTATTTGTGTTTAGCGTCATATAAACTCGGTTCGGGGAACAAAGCTTGTAAAGTAAATAATATGATTTTATTGTTGGTGCAGTAATCTCGGCTGCTGATTTTAAGGTTAAAGAAACCGGTTTGATGACATATAAATCAAAGTATAACATTATTATGACTTGATTTATATATATATATAATGCCTTTAAGTACAGATAAATTTCGGTCGTTTAAGCAAGGAGTTGCGTAAAAAGTATAGCGTTTCAGCATTAAAACCCACAAGCGTTAATTGATGGTGGACAACTTTGCATAGTTCTCCACCATAGAATTATGGTAAACCATGGACTACCATAATTCTATGGTTCTTATTAGATAAAACTCATGAGTGTCGACTATATCGACATATTTTTTTCAAAGGCTATTTCTAAAATGAAGATCGTTTTTCAAAATTAACATGCCAGTTTTGTGAAAATTTGCATCGGAATGTAAGTGGCTATAGCTAGTAGTTGGGTTTTTGTTCAAAGACGCTACTTCATCCTGTAAGCTCCATACGAATAATTCTCAGAGAAATTAGACTACCAACACCCCTATATATATCTATAGATATATTTCATTGAATAATACAAATAGCACAATAATCCCAATATAATATCTTGCTTTTCAGAGGCATGATATGTTGAAAAATACACCACGCAGTGGTATAATCCTTCTCTACCTTTAAAGTATCGAGACTTAAGATGGGTTGTAGGCTTCTTGCAAAGGCATGTAAGTACATATTCTGTTTAGTATGTTTAGGTAGTTACTCAAAACAAATATAGATAAGAAAATGTACTGAAATATGGACACAGTCGGGAAGTAGGTGGTCTGGAGGTTTGAGGAGGCCTCAAATAAACGTATATGTTCCTGCTTTTCGTGACGTCGCTCGTTGTGTAATATCATTTCTGCCCACTACTTAATATTCTCGTGATAAAAGTTTGCAAATCGAATTGCTCGTTTTCTGATATTATGTTACGTTTCAGACCATTTGTTTCTTCTTGTTAGGTTAGTGTTGTTACTCAGTTGAATTTTCATGACGAATTCGACAAATGTTTAAAGATTAAATTGTCTTAATTAGAAGTTAGTAAGTTTGTGTCAGGGTTATAGGCTCGACAAAACCATTTAATTTCACGTCACGTAGTTGTTTAAATAATAACATTGAATCAAAAAGTGTCGTCAAAAGAGATTTAGGCGATGAAGTGGAAATAAAGTGAATCTTGTGTAATATCACTCTTGACCAAGTTCAACATATCTGAAGTTATCACAATTATTCTAAGACGAAAGAAAACTAATTAAACTCGTTCTCAGTCAACGAATTTTCAAATATTTAATGTTTTGGTGAAAACGATAAACACATAAATTAAAATCGAAGTACGATTACGATGGACTGTCTCACAGTTTAAGACGATTTATGAGATTCGAGGGAGGTTGTTTACGAATACAGTGGTTTTGAGTGCTGTTAGAGGTATGAGAGCGGTTATCATTTCCCGGTTGCCCACACAGTGGAAGGGCTCTTCTGGCGGTACCTGAGAACGAAATTGGATTACGGGTGGTCTAAGGAACCTGAGAGCGCGACCGCAGTGTCCAACGGACAACTGCCTGAGCTCGGTCACACACGACCTTTTTATGAGTAATTTTCGTGTTAGCTCCGTACTTGTTGAGACCTTACCGCCAGAGAGGGATATCCGTGGGATAAGGTGAGGTGTGCATTTTTAGGGTCAACCTTTTCTAACCCCACCCCTCCTTGTGGGAAGGCAGCATCACTGTTATGCTGGTTGTCTGAAGGAAACAGCTTACTGCTGTCGCACCTCTGTACAGTCAGCAGTAAGACTTTGCCTTCGAACGTTGGGTTTGTTACTTTTAGTCTTACCACTCTTCAATCGACCAGTCTGGTATAGTAGAACCTTGAGGAACGGTTGTTCCAACCAGTATAGCTCAGTTGCTTCACCACGATAGGCAGGCTCGACCACCATGTCAAGGTAGCATCAACGGTCGGGTAAAGTTCGAGGAAATTAATTATTATTTAAACATTTATAATGATGCAAGCATTTAGATTCCATACTTTTATATACCTGGTTAAGCTTGATTGCATACTCTTATTGACAAAGTATCCCGTCAAAGCTCTAATCCCTCTGAAGTATGAGCGATTTAGAAAGTAATTGAAAGGGCAGAGTTTTCATCATTAAAAATTGAATTACTCAGGCTCCAAAGATGTCAGACATTTATCTAGTTTGGCATAATTTCATTGTTGAATAACTTTAATATGTGCATAATAGCGACATACATACTTTACTTGTTTAAAAGCAGATGGAATGCAAATTGGTTGAAGACTGTCAACATAATACGTCTTTGCCACTGCCAACTGCACGTCAAAATTATAGTTTGTATTTACCGTTGTCTACTCCACCTGATTCAACACCGATGACAAGTCCTCTAATCAGTGATCCAACATCTACGGTAACTGATTCTAAACGGGACACTCCACAAATTTCACACAACAGACGTGAAACACCGGAAGGATTTATCATGCCACACAATCCAGAAATTAGCCCAAATCAATTAAATTTGACAAGTGAATCAGAGGTATTTTAGTCGTTAATGTTGTTATTTTTCTATAGTAGTATGTATTTTATTTTTATTAAGAGTGCCTTAGTTATTATCGTGATTGCTTTCAAGGTTATAATTTTGATTTAGATGAAGATAATCACATTCAGTCACTCATAACCTCCCACATAAGCTACAATATTTACGTACGTTCGGGTATTAGTTTTTTGTTGGTGACAATCAAATTTATGTTACTACTTACCAGCAGAGGTCAATGCATGTTTCTATCTCTCCTCTATAGTCGATTTTACTTACCAAGAGTTCAGAGTTCTCCCTAAATTTTCTGATGAATACAAAAACCTGACACCAAATCCGAGATAAATATGATACGAATAAACCATACACACATTTTTGAGTTTCATGGCGTACCATGATCATGTGATAAGTAAAACAGAGACAGTGGGAGAACACATAAGGTTTCGATCATAACCCTAGCTAAAGGTCGTCATTTATATGTACGCTGCTTTGGTTGTCTTGAACATAGATCAGTAAAAATAAGTTGTAGTTACTATGATCCAGTAAATATAGCTTCATACTCAACCATTATTTCCTCTCTGCATAGCCTGATTTAGCAATAGTTTGATGAGTGCAGTATGAGCTAAACCGTAGTCCTTAAAACTTTGACTAAGCGTTGAACGTGGGAAGTTAATTTTCATGATAGTATTTGCTTGATTGCTTTGCTAATTTTAGTATGACGAAGTTAATCCATTACGTCATAAAGAAATAAATAAAAATAATTCAATGTAAGACTTTATTTTCGATGACATCGTTTTCTTAGACTGTGCAATAGCATTCATAGTTAGTTTTTCTTGCAGTTGTCCGTTATAAAATAGAACATTGTTGAACGAGCCCCCCAAGGCCTTGGTACGGCCAAGACTGCGAAGAGTCTGTTCTCCCTCTCGAAATTCTCTCACAAGGCCACGCGTATATAGCCTTTGCCAGGGAAGTCCTACTCACTACCTTCTCGTGACATTACTGTTGTTTACGAAATCGAGAGGACGAAAAGCGAATATCCGGCGCTTTAACTGGGTTGATGGACACGGAGAGTATACCTACGGGAGTTGGAAAACCCTCATTCCAAACCAATAGTGTACATGGGCTCCAGTATTGAAAAGGAACAAATGGAGTATGAACCAATAGTTGTTCACCGGCTACGATGGGACTGCATCTCCTGATGTTGCTCCACTTCCTTGTGGATTAGGTCAAAGGCTCCGAGTGTGGCTCCTTGAGGAAACCATCTGCTTCAATTTGGGCACCAATAAAGTATCACAGTTCTCACACAAATCGAATGATTTATGTGGTGCATATCTATTTAGTGCCTCCTTGTACCAATGTTTATATGTCTCAATAAAATAAAATAAAATTACTAAACGAAATTATCATTGATAGTCAGGTTTTCTCAAGTTTGGGATATAAAAGTCTACAAAAATGGAGAAGTATTGCATCGTTTAACAAAGTAATTAAAAATTATCAAAGATCTCAGGTATCGAACATGTGATACGTAATAGTCTAAGAGTTAATAGCGTTAATGACTTTTTTCTGAGTAGCGTTCTTTTAACGAGTTAGTTTTCTAAGAAATAGAGTACTAGCCCCACAACGAAACCTCTTCCCTTATGGTGGGCAATGGGAACGGCAGTAGCCTCAGAGGGACTCCAGGTAAAGTTAAGAGTTAATAGGAATGAAAGAAGTAGTTGTCTGTTTTACGAAAAAGAAGGTGAATTTTAGGACAGTAATTCTCACTTAAAATTTGCCAAGGCTATGGTAGAGTAAATCATTGAATGTGGCTCTTTTTTACACAGAGGTCACGTTCGAATCATATCAACATTTAAATTGTCAAATTTTAGGTGTATATACTAATATTTCTAACAGGTGTCTATAATAATTCTTTCATTAAAACTATTTACCAAGATTTTCATTTGGTGACGTTTGTTGTGCTGACTAAAGCCGGTATTCATTTTTCTTATTTACAGACTTCATTTTTGTCACTAGTTCCTAATAAGCTAATCGATTTAACAACCCCAACATCCTCTCACTATATACCAGCAGTAAATAGCAGTGTAAGAAACGCGAAATCCTCTATCGATTTTTTAGCGGATATGAATAATGAAACTTTAATGTTAAATCAATCAAAATGCTACACTCCAATGGTATTCATTTCAAAAAAAACATCGCCATATCCGTTGATGGAAGTAAGTTGTTTACAACCATGAAAAATATTTTGACTATATTATTCCTGTGAGTCACATATATACACATCCAGTTAAGTTCGAATTGTTAGTCTTACTAATGAAACCAACAAAGCAACACTCATGGCACTGAGTGACATTTTCAACAAACTACAATAGCTTTCTATTCTTTTGACCGGGTTCAGTTAATCAAGAATGAAAAGCCAGGTAATAACCAGTTTTCTTAAACCTTCAAGAGACATTGAACAGGTAAACAATCACCGCGTTGGAGAATAACTACGTTGTCTTTAAGATAATAAAAACCATATAAGAAAAATCAATAAACAAAAGATTCTATAGTACATTTTACCGCGACAAAAATAAAGGAAACTTAATGTAAGGAATCCTGATTAGAGAAAACGTTAATTTAGAGTTGAAAAATGGTGAAGGAATGTGTGTTTTACACACCAAACCATTATCATTTTTTAAACGACTAGGATGAGATTTTAAACTACAGTAACAGGTACCGTTTGGTGGACAAAACGTAACTGGGGTAAGTAATCTAGTGATAGAGGAGGGAGTTGTCGTGGTGTAGTATGTTGAAGTTAACGAGCATGTTAACTGATATACAACAAATGTGAGTTGCATTTGAGATCAGATGTATTATTAGTTTAGTCAAAATCACTACCCACATGACTATCCATGAGCGGTAAATGTTACTATTTGGATCTTGGGAATAACGTTACTTATATAGCCTTGTTTTTCTTTCTCTTCAAAGTTTACTGATAAAGTTTAAGGAGAGCAATATTGGTTTGATAGGATTGCAGAACATAATACTAGGTTAAAGCATAGGCTTTTTTTAATAAGATCAAATCCACTTATTATCTAATTTGTGTTTTAGTTGCAGTTGAAACTACTGTTAGATAATAATGATCCTTTTTAATTTTAAACCAAACCAAACACAGTTATAATTGTTGATATCTAACCTCTGTATGGAGCGTATATATAGTCTATAGTTTAATATGTAATCATAATAACAAACAGATGAAATAGTCACAAATTCATCATGTGTTGGTTTTATTGTTTGTGATAATTTATGATTATGGAGAATCCCATACGCAGTTTATTCTAATTATTAAAATTTACTACTATTACTACTATTTTGTTTATAAGTAGTTAAAAAAATATTAGAAAAATTATTCGATATTTTGCATAAATGCAAATACCTACTATAGGGTTTTATATCTTGTATTCCTTTGGAATAGACTTTATGCTGTTTCAGCATCGCTATTTTAAACCTTTTTTATACTGCAGAAAATTATTTCTTCCAGTCAAACTATGGGATCATTTGACAGAAAACAACAAGGAGATAATTGCGCTCAATTAGATGTAATTTCCGATAACCATCATGTTTTAAAATGGGATTATGCTGGAGATATAGCTTCGAATCATCAACTAGGTGTTCCAAGAATTATTTCACACTCTAGTCTATCTTGTAATCCTGTTGATTATGTTGATTATGGGAATTATGATGTCAATATGACAATGACATGGCCTACTTCTAGCCCACATATTTCTCCATCTTCTGGATATGGTTATGCGGTTCGTAGGAAATATAACTTCAGTACAAGAACTAATTCTAATAGAAATAGGAATGAATCATCAAAGAGAAAAGGATTTAGTAAGTTTTTAATTGACACAATTTCATACGACTTTATTCATCATTTTCAAATGTGGAACTCATGTTACATAGTCTAATTAAGTTAGTTTGTTTATTGTTAATATACTGCGCAGCAGTTCGTTCTGTTCCACTTTACGCCTGAGAAGTGTGGCCATTAAGAGTAAAAGATACTCGTAAGTTGCGAGTATTTGATCACAGATGTTTTAGAAATATTGCTCACATCTGTTTGGATCGCCGGGTAAGTTAGGCACAGAGTATTAGGAAATGATGATCAATCAGTCGATGAGGTTGTTAATCTTCATCGACTAAGATGGTTGGGTCAAATTCTACGTATTCCTGAACACCGTTTATCACGATGCACAATGCTGATTAGTCTTGGAGATGGTTGGAAGAAAGTTAGAGGCGGCCAAACCAAAACGTAGCATCAGTGCTTGAAGTCACTAACTTCTGGTCTGAGCCATGTTGGTCGATGCAGACTATTTGGTTGGAGCCCACGTGACCATCGTAATTGATGGTTGGAGATCGTGGATGAAATGCCATATTTAGACAAAAAGCATATCAGAAAAGATTTTCAAAGTAATTATTGTCGTTTATCTGGAGATCGAATTAATAATTAATCACAACAAATTATTGGATTTTAGCGCCGCAAGGATACAATCCAACATAACTAATACTTCTTGAAATGACCTCGGTTGGATTGTTTGAATCTATTTCCTACCTAAGTGTTTCAGTGAATCTGAATAATACTTTGATATGTGCTACTTATGTCGACATAAGTAGTATATGACATTAGTTAGGAATAGAATGTCTGGCAGCAGAAGATCAAGAAGATCGAGAAGAAAAGAACGGGAACAGAAAGTAATTGGCATCATAATTCAGGAACATTGAAATCTAGGAAGATTGACTAACATTTTGCAAATTAAGTATTTACTGTATGGTTGTCAGATCTTACTAAAATGTGCTGTAATTTTGTGGTCTAGTACATTCGATTGTCCCCATTTTTGTTCTCGTTCACTACAGTATAAATAAAATACATTTGATCAAATCATCAGTTAGTTATTGACTTACTACACTGAAATGTTTGTTCTTCATTTAAGTATGATATCGAAGATTAAAATGGTGATTTGTATAATCATCCTTAGACAGATAATCCTATATTTTCTTCTATGAATATCGGAACTTTAGTAATCAAATAAAATGATGTGTATAACGATTAATATGTCATTGATTATCAATGTTATGCTTGTGGATTTCTTGGCAAGTAGATTGTTTGTATTTAATTAAATGGAATATACCCATTAAGACATAAAATAAGAAAGATTAGTTCAATGAAGCGTTCTGTTTTCGATGAATTCATTCTCAACACTGTACAATCGCAAACATATACTTCATCATGAAGATAGATTGGAAGTTTTAACTGGAATAAGCTGCCGAAGTCAGTTATAGTGCATCTTCCTAACATTATTGAAGCAGTAGCTATATATCTCGAACATCGAAAACTATGTGGTATTACCTCTTCTTCTACTATGGTCTTAATGTCTCATAATTTTCTTCCTCCCCCATATTTTCCTCCCTTTATAACTATCTACTTCCTCTTTTATCTTTTCTATAGACCTTTTACCCTCAACTAGTTCGCTTCTGTTTCTATAATCCTCCTGATTACATTTCATACCAAATTCAACATTCTTTATCTATCTTAATGATTAATATTCAAGTCCTCAACAATAAAGGTATTATTATATGTCCTGGGTTCGAATCTCGGGAGGCGAGATCGCGGATCCGCACTGCTGAGTAGTACCACAATGGGAAGAAACAGCCATCCAGTGTTTCCAGGTTTTCCATGGTGGTCTAGCTTCAGTTGACTCATGAATTCAACTATTAAATTATTATTAGTTTCTCTAGTTAAAAAAAATAAGATGGATAGTGGCTAGCCATGGAATCCAGGACTTGTGCTTCGTCCTATTTGGGGCTCGTCAATTGTTTATTCTACTTTATTGTTATCACGTTTAACAGGATTTTATTATCACTAATATTACCACTACCACTTAATTAACTACTTCTATGAATCCGGTGTTCATCTTGTTGTTCTAATGAGGTAATAACAACTTGGACTGATGCACATATTTGCCTAGTCCTACGTTGTAGCTGACTGACTGACTGATTGTTATTCTAAAACAATAAGTTTATACATATTTGCGATTGTATAGCTTTGTAAGTGAATTCACTGAAAAAAAGAGAACTCTTTTAGTTAATTAACTGAGGAGTTCCATACTAGGATGAAACGGCTATCCAATGCTTCCAGGTTTTTCATGATGATCTAGCTTCAATTAACTCATGATTTCAACTATTGAAATTAATTATTAGTTTGAGAGAGAGAGAGAGGGAGAAAATAATCATTGTCTATTTCTTATTTCAGATGAATTCTCTTCAACTACAATTAATCATGGTTCATTTATATCTAGTCCAGATCCTGAAGATGAATTACATAATTTACCATTGAATAATTCAATCGATCAAATCAATCATTTTATTCATCATCATCATCATCATCATCATCATCAATCACCATTGAATGATTTCAATATTGATTTATTTGATCATTTAGAAAGTGATGAAGATCAGATCAAATCTAATCACAATACAAATAGTAGTGAATTTAGTTTAAATGATGAAAATTTTTATCATAATATAGAAAAATGTAATTTAAATAAGATTCATATGAATAAAAGTCAATCTGTAATTGAATTACATAATCATACGAATATGACTAAAAGAACTACTGAAAAGTATTTCAGTAATCTATTACATAATATAGATCATTATATAAATGGATCACATATAATTACATCTATGCATAATGATTGGTTTAGAAATAAATTATCTAAACCATCTATTCAAACAATAAATACATTGAAATCAATCAATATCAATCATCAAATGATTACCAATAATGTAATAAATAATAATAAGAATAATGATGATAATATAAAGGAGAATAATGAGCAGGTAATGTTTGGAGTTCATTTTTACCTATGGATTATAGATTTTAATTAAAACACTTCATTATAAGTTTCCTATTTCTCATACATGGGATTCGAACCCAAGACTTTTGGTGCCATTTGTCAATGTTTAACCTTTAAATCATTGAGTAGGCGTCCAGTGATGTTACTGTTTAACTTCAACCTATTCAAGATAATTACGCAACCATCTTCTTCATCACTCTACATCAACTTCATTGACTACGAGAAAGTATTTGATAGCGTTGACAGGAAAACAATATGAAGGCTTTTTTGACACTACGGTGTGCCTCAGAAGATAGTCAATATCATACAGAATTCCTACGATGGATTAAATCGTTCATGGAGGACAGTTGACAAAGTTGTTCGAAGTAAAGGCCGGTGTCAGGCAAGGTTGCTTACTCTCATCCTTTCTCTTTCTTCTGGTGATCGACTGGATCATGAAAACGTAATCATCTGAAGTGAAGCATGCAATACACTGGATATCTATGATGCATTTGGACGATCTAGACTTCGCAGACGATCTGGCTCTTCTATCGCAAACACGACAACAAATGCAGAAGAGGACCAGTGTAGCAGCAGCCTAAACAGAAGTAGGTCTCAACATACACAAAGAGAAAAGCAAGATTCTCCGATACAACACAACATTCACCAATCGAATCACACCTGACGGAGAAGATTTGGAAGATGTAAAACGCTTTACATATCTGAGCAGCATCATTGATGAACACAGTGGATCCGATGTAGATGTGAAGGCGCGGGTCGGCAAAGCAAGAGCAGCATATTTACAACTGAAGAACTTCTGGAACTTAGAACAACTGTCAACCAACACCAAGGTCAGGATTTTCAATACAAATGTCAAGACAGTTCTACTGCATGGGGCCGAAACCGGGAAAACTACGAAAGCCATCATCCAGAAGATATAGGTGTTTATTAACAGTTGTCTACACAAAATACTTGGGATCCGTTGGCAACAACCTAATGTGGTAGAGAACTAACCTGATTCCAATGGAGGAAGAAATCAGAAAGAAGCTCTGGAAGTGGACAGAAAACATATTGAGGAAAACACCCAACTATGTCATAAGACAAGCCCTTACATGGAATCCTGAAGTCTGAAGAAGGAAAGGAAGACCAAAGAACACATTATGCCGTGAAATAGAGATAGACATGAGAAAAATGAACAAGAATCGGATGGAACTAGAGAAGAAGGCCCAGGACAGAGTAGGTTGGAGAATACTGGTCGGCGGCCTATTCTCCATCAGGAGTAACGGGCGTAAGTAGCTAAGTAAGTATCTTCTAGCTGTCATGGATTAGCTCCATTGGTGATGACTTCTTACTAGAACTCCGAGAATTCCCTCACAAACCTAACCAATAATGAGAACATGATAATTATTAGTATGAGGTTGTGGAGATTTTTAAGTTTTTGATTCAGATCATGAATCGATTAATTTTAGATTGAAGGTCCTGGGTTTGAATCCCGCATGTGGTATCGTTGGTGCTCACTACTGAGGAGTTCCATACTAGGACAAAACGGCTGTTCAATGCTTCCTAGTTTTCAATGATCGTTTAACATCAATTGATTCATGATCTCAATTAAAAACTTGACAATCTCCACAACTCCATAATGGTTTGAATTATTTGTTAATTATTTGATCAACAATAATTTGAAAAAAGTAAAATTTATGAAAGAAGTTGTTCTAATCATATTAATTACCCCAATACATAATAAAATGACTAATATTGAACATTCTTCTCCATGGTTATTTATGTTTATATATAGTTTATTGAATATCAGGTTGTTTGAGTCACTGATTGTCTAAATACAATCCTATTCTTTTATGGCTCTTGTATGTGTTATGTTAATATATGTACTACAGCTGTTGAAGTTGGTATCTATTTACAACACGATCATCTATACATTGATAATCATTGTGATAAGCCTTCTTTTTGTTATATTTTTCAAAACTAAGTTATTTTTATGAAGAATATTTCATCAGGTAAGGGATAACCAAATAATACGTTTTCGTATTGAGTAATGATAGGAATCGAAACAATGTTGTAAGGAATTGTTCAAATATTTTATTGATAGTTTCCCTATAATTAGATTGAATTGTGTATGTTTTATGTAATCATATAATATATCGTCACACAAATCCAACTGTTGGATTAGAATTTAGTTATCAACAACAATAAGGCCATATTGTCACGAAAGGTATAAGAGGGCAATAGTATGTTCTTATAATATTGTAGATCACTAGCGTAGATGATCTATGTCGAAATGATTAGAAGCTTACTCGAGTTAGACAGGAATGGTGTGACAAACTAGCTAACGTCGAAGTCACACTTCGCGGTCAGCACCTTACATGGATTGCCCCATTGACGTATCAAGGTACTGTAGATGCTTTGAAGACTGTACAACACAGAGGACGTTATTAGAGAAATATATTAATTAAAGTAGATACAAGCGAAGGTAAGACCACTGCTGCATGGGCTAGTCCATGACGTACGATTAACTGACACGCGTTGGTTGTCCTTGACCTCGACGAGGATTGATGATTTGTTCGATATTCAATGACCCAACTGCCGGATGATTTGGCTAGGGCTCAGTCGGATTTCACTGGCCCTACAATATAATAGCTTTTATACGGAATGTAATTAAATATGTGTATTTTCAACCTGATCAATAACAGCTTACTTTAACTTGAAATATCAGATTGATATAAGTTTGATTCTCTGACCTAATATCAATTTAATCAGTTTTTGAAATACACCTTATTTATTAGTGAACGCTATCATACAGAAAGCTTAGATTGGACATCCCTTACTATCAATTAAATCTCGACACTTTATATAAGATATCTGTCATTGAATCAGCCTATGTGTTTTTAGGCACACTTGAATAATCAACTACAATTACACTTGATACACCATCTTCACTTATAATGGGTTCATTAGATCAATTGTTAATTTACCTACGTTTATATAAATTCCTACTCTGACTTCATTAATGCTTACTTTATTTCTGAGCAGTGAACATTCGTGACCTCACAAGTATTTATATCCATCAATTTCGTAGTATGCAGATTACACTATTTCGTTCAACGAGAATTTCTAACTCTAATTATATTACAATATCATAATGTCATTATCTATTGATAACTGTGGCCAGCAATGTGATTTCTGATTTAGCTTTATGGATTACAAATTCCAATATAAAGTATAGAATAGTAATGTAAAATTATGAACATGCTAACAAAATGCACAGTCTTCTGACCACTCTAAGCAACAATGCAAGCATGTTCGGGATGCGATTCTCTTTCTCAAATGCAAAATGTTACTTCAGGATTGAGTTGCATTGACACCCGAACTATTGTTAGGGGGTGAAGTAGTTGAACGTATTGACCGCTTCACTTATCTTGAGAGTCTCATTAACCCTTGTGATCTGGTGTGTGACGAAATCTCAGCACGGATGCAGAAGGTTCGACTAGCTTTTCTCAACTTGCGTCATTTGTGGTGTAGGTGAGATATTCGTCTACGAACCAAAGAACGGGTTTACTGCACAGCAGTTCGTTCCGTCTTACTTTATGGCAGTGAAACATGACCAGTAAGAGTAGAGGATATTCGTAGGTTACTAGTATTTGACCATAGGTGTCTTCGAAACATTGCTCGTATATCCTGGGACCACCGAGTAAGTAGCTCAGTTGTTAGGAAACGGGTATTAGGTAAAGATAGAGAATCAACTGATGAATTGGTGAAACACGTTACGTATGCCCAACCACCGACTGCCCCTCGACGTACGATTTTTTATGGTGTAGCAGTAGGTTGGAAGAAAGCTAGGAGCGACCAGACCAAAACATGGCACAAATCCATCAAGTCACTGATAAGTAGACTGAGCCATGTTGGTAGGTGTAGACTACCTGGTTGTGATCTGCGAGATGATAGCAACCGATGGTTAGAGACCTTGAATGACATGGCTCAAAATCGTTTGCGATGGCGCAGTGGTGCATCCACTCTTTGTGTTCTCCCATATTCTAATCTTCTGAATTCTTCATGTCCTGTTCTTTTTCTTTTTCTTTTTAAATTTATTTCACTAGATTATACTCCTTGAATAACATCTTCAAACCTTAATGTTTCCTATTAATGCTTATATTTTTACTACCCCTACCACTATGGGATTTGAATCGACGACTGTACCTCTGTGCTTATTTGGTATGGCAACTCAAACTGATATATGTACGAAGTCTTATGTTGTTGCTGACTGACTGGCTGATGATAATAGGATCCCTAAAATTACTATTCAATTGATTGGCTTTAAAAGATTTCGTTAATTTAAAGATTTTTTTCATCATGGTTATATATTTGTTGTTGTTTTTGGACGTTTGCTTTAATTGTTGACTTGGCTATTTCAATATGTAGCTGTATATTTCTACAAATTAATCAAACTAATTTTTATATATACAAATTTGTAATTTGAATTCAAGGAAATTTTGGCGAATTCTTCAGTGCATAGTAACTGCAGACTTGTGAACGAATTAAATGAAAATAATAATAATAATAATAATAATAATAATAATAATAACGACGAATTACAGTCACCTTTAGAGGATAATCAACATGATTTATCTTCATTACAAACTACATCTGTATTGAATACCACAGAAACTGATCCTTTTTTACACACAAACAATAACATACCTATTCAAGAAATTTCAACAGTTCAACCATCAGCATGTTCAAAAGACTTCTCTAAACTGCCTTTGAATGATTTTAATGAATCAGAAGAAATGTGCTATATTGTAGATGGTGTACTTTCATCAATACAAGGTTAGTTTTAATATAATATATATGATGTGCCCCCTAAGAAAACCACCTGCTTCGGTTTGGGCACCCGGGCAGTATCACAGTCCTCACACATATCAATTGATATCTGTGTGGCGCATATGTATTTGGTGCCTCCTTGTACCAATATCTATGTGTTAAAGTAAATAATAATAAAACTTTTCAGAATATATATCTAATCTAACTGTAAATGATGCCACTCCCTTCCAGCCAAATAAGTTGGTGAAGCCTAGTAGGCCCTTCTGGAGATAAACAGGCCACATCAAAACACGGCACAACTACTGGGTCTAGAATAGCTGTTTTTGCAATCGGTTGGGGTTTGCTCCGTAGGGAGCAACCCCGTACATTGCAAGCACCAGTTTTGTGGATTCTTTTTCGTTTTTCGATCCTGGAGGAATTGTCCTGTGATTTTTTGTAGGCTTCGTAATCAGTTTGTGGGTACCGATCGATTGGGTGATTAGCCACCTGGGTTACAGCTCACGTTAGTTCATGGGACTGAGTCCCATTATCCAGGAGGCACGACGAGGACGTGTGAGTCGGATTTCGCCTCCCAACTGTAAATGATCGAGACATATCATTTCACTTAATTCTTATCTACCATAGACTAATTATATTACTATGTTCAAGTTGGATATGATGAACATGGATGTGGTAAAAATACATTGTTCTATTTATGTTGGTTGAATTTAATTCCATGGAATGTGAATTGTAATTTTAGCTTTGAAATATCCAACGTTTATATCCTGATGTTTGGTTGTTTGGAGGAATTTGTCAATAGAATTTATTAGTTGAATTCATGAGTCAATTAAAGCTAGATCATCATGGAAAACCTGGGAGCACTGGACGGCCGTTTCGTCCTACTATGGAATTCCTCGATAGTGCGCACCCACTATCTCACCTCGCGAGATTCGAACAAAGGACCTATCATAATAGTTTTACTGTTGAGGACTTGAATATTAATCATGAAGATAGATAAGGAGATTATAATTGGGAAATGAAGGCTCAGCATGATACAATAAAATGTTGAATTTGGTACGAAATGTAATCAGGAGGACTATGAAAACAGAAGTAAATCAGTTAAGGGTAAAAGGTCTAACCCAGGACCTATTGGTCTCGCACACGAGCGCTTAACCTCTAGACCACTGATCAGGTATCCAACGTTGTTAATGTCTAACTTCAACCAATCCACGAAACTAGGCCACCGTCCACTGCCTCACAGCAGATCATGTTGTACTCCTCTAATCATAGCTTCTAAATAGAACTTCAGGAAATATTTCTTGGAGACAGTCACTAGTGAGTATACGATGATTATAATCAGAGAGGGGTGTTTTGTGGAGTTTTTAATAATCTAATAGTTGAAATCATGGGTCAATTGCAAATTTATCTTTTCAATGCATGAATCACCAGAATGGTGAATGTGAGGGTAAAGTGTATATTGATTTCTCCAATTCAGTTTATTCATGAATTCAACTATTATATCACTATAATATTCACAAAAACCCTTCTCTAATTATAATAGAATACATAACAATTAGTTCCTTTGATAAATTTCGATAATGAAATGAGAAGATGAAAGTTATCCAAATTATGTAATATATTTGCGTAATACATTTCTAACAATCTGATTGAAGATATCCTTGTAAAGACATTAATTATGAAAAATAAATCAACTAAACAAATTAAAAGGTAAGTGGAAACAAAGATATATGTAATCATATTGTTGGAAATGCATTGCACAAATATATCACATAATTCTGATAACCCCGAATAATCTGGTACGGCCGAGGGTGGGGAGAGTCCGGTCTTTCTCTCGAAATGCTCTCACATAACCACGCGTATATAGTCTCTGCCAAGGAAGTCCGAACCACTGTCTTCTCGTGGCATTAATGTTGTTTACGAAATTGAGAGGACGAAAAATGACCTTTAAGTCAAAGGCTCCTAGTGTGTGTCCCCCGAAGAAAACCACCTGCTTCGATCTGGGTACCCGAGGACTATCACAGCCCATACATAAATCAAATGACTTGTGTGGTGCTTATGTATTCGGTGCCCCTTTGTATCAATATTTATGTGTCAAAATAAATAAATAAATAAATCGAAATAGAACTTATCTTGATGTTTTCTGTTCGTTTCTCTTGCCTAAAATTGAACTACGTTTTATACAGGAATTAGTTGTTAGAAGATCATTTATATAGAGTTGTTGTTTATCTTTAAAATTTGTAGATATGTTCTTTAGTCGATTAGTGTACAGAACAATACAACTGAACTATTTCATAATGTTTTTATCCATGCCTAACTCGGTTTAAGTTACATTCGCGAAAACATTAAACCAACGGTGATCAGTCGGTCGTAATTAAAGTAAAACCTGATGAAAATGTGCGTTGATCTAAGTTACTTACTTGCTCTATTACCCCTCATGGATGAGCGTTGGCCGCCTACCAGCACTCATCAACCAACTCTGTTCTGGGCAATCCTTTCCAGCTTTTTCCAGTTGTTATTCATCCTTTTCATATCTGCTTCTATTTCCCAATTTGATGAGTTTTTTGAACTTCCTCTTTTCTGTTTCCCTTCAGGACTCCAAGTTAGCACTTGCCTCGAAATGCAGTTTGATGATTTCCTCAATGTATGTTCTATCCACTTCCAACGTCCATTACTAATTCCCTCTTCAACTGGGAGTTGGTATGTTCACTCTCACAGTAGATTGTTGATGATGGATCCGGTCAACGGACATTCAGTATTTTGTGTAGACAATTGTTCATAAATTCTTGTACTTTTTTGACGGTGGTTGTAGTAGTTCTCCAAGTTTCAACTCAATACAGTAGAATTGTCTTGACGTTCGTATTGAAGATTCTAACTTTGATGTTGACTTACAGACAATTGTTTTGAGTTTCATATGTTCTTCAATTGTATTTTAAGTAGCCATATCAAATTAACACGATAAGATGAAATTAACAAGATGTATAATAAATAATTTTAAATAATGTAATAGCAATGACGATGATAATAACTAAACCTGACGAATAGGGTTCTAGAAGGTATGTTTGAAGGTATATTGGTATACAGAAAGATAAAGGGTGAATTCATCTGCGTAATTGTGACAGACTCTAAGCCATGTTAATGAAGATCTTCAACCACTAATTACGTCTATCCATCTACATCTATCAACATGTTTCCAATGCCACTGACCCTTATGTACTATGGTTCTTAACAGATATTTCTGATAATATTCAGACTGCATGTTTATTATTTGATCACTAGGTAGATACTAATTATAAATTTCATCAATCAATCAATAGAGCTCATCAGTTTGTTGTTGTTGACTGCCTTTTGAAGTACATTAGACCTCATTGTATAGTTATTCATGGTTTATTTTTTATTATAGATACAAATAATTACTCAGCTATTACAACAGTAACACCATTAAATGAAAACCTATATTATCAAAATGGTTTTGATGCAGAATCGGAAGGTTGTAGAAGTAGTGTTATAATGGATGAAAATTGCGGTAATTTGTTGTTTTCTTATAAAATGAACTTTGTTTTTTATGAGAAACTATTTATTTATTTGTATTATTTATTTAGTAGTTAAATTCATGAGTCAATTAAAGTCGGACCATCATAGGGAATTTGGAAGAAAATATATTAAAATACAGCGAGGGAATATTAGTTACCAAAGCAAGGAAAGATTAATAACCATCTCCTTTTGAACACATAAAGCAGGTTTTTGACGTCTGATAGCAACGACTTCAGCAAACTTCAGAAGACTGAAGTTTGGCTGCTTACTAATCACCTTGAATGATTGTAGGGTATCGACCTGATGTCCTGTATCAGGGAGATGTTTGGTGATTGCACTGTTTAGAATTTTTCTTTCTCTTGTTCTGAGGCTTTTTGGAACATGTTCAAAAAATCTGAAATATGCCCTCCTTTCTGTTCGGCCAATGTAGCTGCTTTGGCAGGTACACGTAAATTTATAAATACAATTGGCGGTAAAATGAAAAGGATGCTTATCAACCTTTGATTGAGTTATTGAACATGTTGTTTTATACAAAATTAGAAGTTCGTCCACCGGATAATTTCTTGCTAGCGCAGGTATAGTAGACTTTCTTCACACTCGACCTTACCACGGAATTCGAGCGCTTGTTATTTCAAAGAGCACATTTATTGGAACACGTAGTTGTTCGAAATTAGTACCACAACTTTACTGTTTCAGTTTATTTAAGGTTCCTACCCTGTTAACTAATTAGTCTTGCATATGATTACTATTAGCATTTATCAGCAGTAGGTTGCTTCAACACTTCTAATCAATGGTTCCGAAATATCTGCCATAGAATAATTGTATTCTGTTACATAATTTATCTTTAGCAGTCATATCCTTCAGCCGAGGTTTATAACAGTGTTTACAGTAAACGTAGATTCTAATATACGTCTAGATAATTATTGTGTATTAGATGGAAAACAGTAAATAACTCAAGAAGCTTTATTCAAGTCTACTGGATGTTCTGTGTCAATCAAGTGAGTATGAAGAGGACTTTTAATTGGCTTTAAATATACTTTCCTTAACTAGGCAGTATGGTATCCGCAGATATGATAACAGATTTTTCTAATTCTGATCTTTATATAACTGGCTTTACAAGAGCAGTTGACTCGATAGTTACACTTAAATTTGACAAATTCAAACGGTTCGCCTTTGTTTACGGTTCAATGATTGAACGAGCGTATGATACTCTATGAAGTTGGTCTACAATGAATGCTTTCTGTAATCGCTTTCCTAACCTCTGTCTTAATATTTCATGACAAATGTCGTTTTTAAACTAGTTGTAATAATGGAGAATTCTTCTGAGCATTCACTATCATTAGTCTTATTTTTATTCATTTTGCATGTTGATTAGATGGAAACAAGCCTGACAAACTCTGGGATGCAGGTTTATCCAGCTGACGAGTCCTAAATAGGACGAAACGCGCGTCAAACTGGATTCCACTGCTAATCACCATTCATCAATACTTATAAAGCTTGGGACTTAAGGCAATATCGTGGCAATCCGCACAGGATTTACATATACCAATAAGAGATTGATCAATTACAGTTCTAGACAACAGTGGGAAGATACAAACAAACAATACCTAGGGAATTTAGTAGTTATCTGTTTTATTTCAACTACCTGTGATATCTATAAGTTTGTGTTTAATATCATTTTAGAGAAAGAAATTTCCCCTAATGATTATGATGTCTATAATGAACTTGATCATTTATTGATCAAAAATACTGATATAAAAATCGATGAAATTTCCAAATCATTGACACCATCTATTCGAAATGATAAAATATCAATGATAACAACAACAACAACAGCAAATGAGATAAGTATTTGTAAAAGTGTAAGTTTTCAATTTATCGATTTCTTTTTCTTTTTTATTCAGTCGTTTTTCTCACCTGTTACCCCCCCCCCCGAATGGAGCATAGGTTGCCGACCAACATTCTCCAATTCACTCTGTCCTAATCCTTCCTTTCTAGTTCTATCCCTAGGTTGTTCATTCTTGAGAAACTCTACTTCTTAGGATCAAAACAGTTTTATTAATCAGTCTGAGAAATTAAAACTAGGACCTGGAGCTAGAAGTTAAAGTCAGTAATTATATTTACGGTTTTCATTACAAGTTGATATCAGCTATATAATCCAAGAGTTCTTTTTAGCCACATGGGTGAATGAATTTTGAGTCAAAAGTCAAGATGCTTCATCAACGGTGAGTAATCTGTCTCCTTTCGGTATATTCAAATTTTCTATTCGAACCGCGCGTAATGGTCCTAATCTATGACTGTAGATCTTGAGTAACATGGTCAGGGTTTGATAGTAGGAATAGTGCATATGAATTTACTCGCTTAAATCTTTAGTCCACACTTTATAACTCAATCTCATTCGTCCCTTTTGAACTATATCACGTATGTTTAGATTTCCACCAAAGTAAGGTTCAATATCTCACATTCTCTGCTCTTCATCTTTTCAATTTCCGCTGTCTCTCGTTGTGTTAATATTGATTGATGTACGTTGACCAATACAGATTTGTTCCGAATTCTACGTAGATAGTGGATGATTACTTACGTACACCTGTTACTCCTAGTGGAGCATAGGTCGAGGACCAGCATTCTCCAACCCACTCTGTCCTTGGCCTTCTTTTCTAGTTTTATCTAATTGTTGTTCATTTTTCTCATGTCTATCTCTATTTCCCGGCGTAATGTGTTCTTTGGTCTTCTTCTTTTCCTTTGGCCTTGAGGATTCCATGTGAGGACTTTCCTACTGACACAGTTCGGTGCTTTCTTCAATGTGTGTCATATTCACTTCCAGCGCTTCTTCCTAATTTCTTCGTCCGTTGGGATCTGGTTTGTTCTCTCCCATAATAGATTGTTGTTGATAGTGTCTGGCCGACGGATCCGAAGGAAACTTCTGTTAATAGCCACTTGTATCTTCTGGATGATGGATTCTGTAGTTCTGCAAGCTTTTCGCGAAGTTATTAATGGGCAATAATAAAATAGTTAACTCATTGAGACTATAATTAATGAACAACCTTCGAATGATGCTAAAGTAACCTTGAGACTTTTCACCCATCATCTAGGTCTAAATGACGATTATAAAGCAATATAAAGAATTTGAGTTTTAATTTACAGTTAATAGTTACAGTTGGAAACTAGATTGAGAGTTTTCATCACAAACTACCATCAGATAAAAAATCAAGATGCTATTTAACTAAATAAATGAATGAATTTTGCGCCAATAATTCAAGACTTGTTATCTTATATATGTAACTGGTTTGTTCAGAAATTATAGACTTATCTGTTAATTATTCAATTACAAATCACCCTTTGTTAATGTTGTATTATGATTTGTTTAAATCATTTATTATCCTCTTTTCATTAATTGAATTCTAGCTTATTTTATGAATACTACTCTTTAGAGAGATACTTCATTGTAAGTAGTATACATTCTGAAAGATTTTTGAAAATAGTTAGTTAAATGAACCAATTGGTTCTTTTGTCAATATAGAATTTGACTAGTTATTAGCTGTTATATCTAGAGCTTAGATTCTTAATATACCACATATGACTTCAGCACTTGAACGGTAGAACACTTCCAAGTTATAAATGAGAAGAGAGAAGATAAGTGAAAGGAATTCTATTCCGAAACAGTGTCATATATAATACAAAATAGTTAGGTATTTATAGCTTTTAATAAAAATGGAATGCTAAGGAGTCCCATACTAGGAGGAAACGGCTGTCCAGTGCTTCCAGGTTTTCCATAGTGGTTTAGCTTCCATTGACGTATGATTTTAACTAGTGAAAAATGAAATCATCATAATAGTCCTCCAATTTGCATACAGGGGATTATTAGCATTTATCCAATAGGGTAGATTCACATAGGGATTCTAGAATATTCTTCGAAACGATGATTAAATGGAATATCTTCAGTTCTTTCTGAATTTCTTAGGGCTTCTTCAAGTTCACCCATGGACTGTCCTCACATTAGCATTAATTATATTACAGTGTATTACTTCTAATGTGGACAGATATAAGTAGTACGTAGCAGGAATAAGAAGTGAAATGCTTACCAGAAATAGATGTATATAAAGAGATCAGGTAAGAAAACGGAGATCAATTAGAATAACAACAGAATTAGAAGAATGATACATTATTGTAAAGGACAACTGAATGACGTGCAAATAATCTATTTAATATATGATTTTTATATTTTACAATGAGTTAGTTTACCGTACTTGATTTTTCATTCATTACGGTATTATCACCGTATCATATTTATTCTTAATTGTCTTTTTCCATCATCTAATCTCTGAATATACAGTTACTTATTAGATTTCTCATTGGCTAATATGTTAGTGAATAATTTGAATGCATAGTTTCTGGATATTCTTCATGTTTGTTTCTGTCTTCATTCCTGTTCTGGGATTTTTGATGTTTAGTATTTGTTCATTTTAGCGAGACCATAATTTATGGATGAACCAATCACGTATAAGTTAACAGGTTTCAAATTTTGGCGCAAAATTCACTCATTATGGCTGATGTTAGTTCATGATGAAAACCCTAAATCTAATTCCTAACCTTAATCATCAACTATAAGTTATAATTTTAATTCATCACACGCTGGTTTATAACCCTCTTTTGGTCCTAGTTACTAGGTGGACGCTCTCAAGGTTAATTTGTAATATTATGGTCTACTATGATATTAGCACTGCTCTAATAATAGACCTAATCCCAAAGTTGTAGATTTGTTATGATGTAACTGCCTAATCTATGAGATCTTACGTGAAAGTCACATCATCATCTACACCAACTCACTGCGTCGTAACAATTACCAATACATGATATAGAACAATCTTAGACTAGAGATGGAACAATATATTTAATATGAATAAAAAATATAACGTAACATTTAGAAGGGACCACGCCTGCATGGCCGAGCCATGCCATACGATCCACTCTAATTTATCTAATTCCTTATTCCCGTCTTCTCCATTGTTAGGTATTTCCCAGCGTTAAATGTTGAATGTCTATTTTTTGTATTGTCTCGTGTTAGGGCCAAATGCCACTATACTATTCTCCCACCAGAATGAACGTGATGTTGGTTCGATACCTATTTGAGTGGGATTATTGCGCGCCGGAGGTTACCATGAATAATAAGAATCCTCCGGGTATTGATAAGCTGAAAGAGAAATCAAAAAGAAGGCAATAGCATCTGGTCGGGAAATACATGTAAAAAATTCAACATATCTGATTGCATGCTTAATACGCTTAAAATAAAAATTTGGGGTGATTATTTGGGCTATGAAATATGGGATTATAATAATAATAATAATAATAATAATAAAACGTGAGATGAGTGTTAATAGCCTTCGTTAATAACTTATAGATAGTAAGTACTCTGTGTCTAGAAATATTAAAAGCAATCAATATTGTAGAGATTTTAATATTGGTATTAGTTTTAGTTCAAATTATGAAATCCATATAACGTTTATGTTAGAAAGTTGTTCATGTGTTGATTTCCTATAGCATCTGCATTAGTAGGCTAACTGAAAGAACAAAAGTATAACCGTGGAGAAGAATTTCAACTAGTGTTTCAGTTAGTTTGATACAGTTTATTTAGATATGGAGAGATTTTCTCGACCTCATTTTTACTTGACCGTGATAGACTTTAGTAATACTACTAATACATATGAATGGTTATCAAAAAACAAATGTTTTAGTGCGTGAAAAGTGATAATTATGTGAATTTTGGACAGATATATAAGAACAATTTGTTAAACATGAGTGTATTCGTAAGAGACATGCTCTAGACTCAATGTTCTGACTTACCATAGACTATTTACCGTCGCTCAAAGGTCGTTCATATATTATAATCTCACTAAATTAGTTTAAAGCAACCTTGAATACTAACCGATTAAATTCAACATCACTATGCTAGATTATTCTGTGTTATTTATTTATTATAATTATTGATCTAGAAAAGTATACTAATACGCCAAGACTATATTCATTATATGCTGTTGTCATGGCTATGAAGTGGTTCATTTCATACAATCAAGATTAATCTGACATTCCCTTCGATTGAGATAGGTTTTAATTTTTCGATTGATATTATGAACCGATTGATGTTAGACCAGCATTGGAAACCTGGAAGCAATGAACGGCCGGTTTGGTCCTATTATGAGATTCCTCAGCAGTGCGCATCCCCGATCCCGCTCGCGGGATTCGATCGGTTCATTATCTGAATGCATAACTTAACGATCTCCACACCCCTACGCTAGTGACTAGCTTCGTGAGGGACCAGTGGAGCTAATCCGTGTCGGGTAGAGACAAGTATATACCTCAGTACAATGGAAGATATTCGCGCGATTTCGTGGATTGGTTGATGTTCGACACTAACACCATTGGATGCAGGCTCAGTTGTCCAGTATGTTAAGCGTTCGAGCGCGAGACTGAAGGCCCTGGGTTCGAATCCCTCTCGCGGGATCGTGGATGCCCATTTCTGAGGAGTCCCCCAATAGGAAGAAACGGCCGTCCAGTACTTCCAGGTTTCCAGCGTTCGTCTAACATCAATCGGTTCATGATCTGAATCAAAAACTTGACAATCTCAACAACCCCTATAGTGGTAGATTTTAATTGTTATAATTGTTTCATTATAGATATATCGATTTCTATCTTATTGTTTTTTTTAAAGATTCAGAATGATATGTTAAGTACTGAATGTAAATTGTTATCTAACGTTTATCCTACAATCTTCTCTACTGGGATGGAATTAGTTACTCACTATACTACTCATAATACACCATATATACAATATGCTGCATCTAAAATTAAATCAAACAATCTGCCTGAATATATACCTTCACAATATAGCAATTTATCTATGAATGGATATCAAACATATCATTCCAATCATGTAATACGTAAGTTGAATTAAACCATTAATTTAACATGAATTGAAAATTGTGTATATTATTTTTCCTCAATATAAAACCCTACTACATGTACACATATATGAAAACATTTGAATTACAGTGTTTCAGATTGTTATATCTTGTAACTCGCCGATTAGAGGGCAGCGAATTATCGATCGGATCAATGTCGCGTAAAACATGTGCGAGCGGCATAGAGTTCTGATTGACCCTGCTTTCCGCCTAGCCTAGCCAGTTAAGTCCAGAACGCCAATCTCAGCCTCTGCGATATGAATCGTTATGTTTCAAACATACTGAGTTTATATACCAATCAAACAGACTACATTGTACCATAAACAAGATTTAACCAACAGGAAAATGACACGTTAAATAAATATTGACCAATAAGATGATACTATTTCATGTCCAAGGATAGCATTAGGCTTAACAGGATAATTTTTGGGATATTTTCCTGAATATCCCAACAAAGATATAGATTTTGTCAGTATAAGGTTGTGGAGATTGTTGAGTTTAGATTGATATCATGGATAGATCAATGAAAATCGCCACCGAATGCCATGATATGGCCGAGTGTGGGGAGAGTTAGCTCTTCCTCACGAAATACTCTCAAATGGTCATGCGTATACAGCCACTGCAAGGGAAATCTGACTCATTGCATTCTTGTCGCATTACTGATGTTTTCAAAATTGAGAAAACGAAAAGCAAATGTCCAGCTCTTTAACAAGGGTTGGTGGACACGGAGGATCCACCTAGGATAGTACAGTCAGTCATTCAGCCAGCTACAACATAGGACCAAGCACATATGTGCATCGGTTCAAGTTGCTGCACTTTACTCATTACCACAACAAGATGAACACCGGATTCATAGAAGTAGTTACTTCGATGGTCGTAACATATAAAAGGAAGATTGCATATAACGATATAGTACAGGAAGAAAGAATTTGTTCGTAGAAAGAAAGATATGAATCGATTTTAATCTCATAGTATAAAGGGAGACAGACAGTGTATACACCTACGTTGTTGTGATCGATTCTGAGCTATATCACACAGTCTCCAACCATTGGTTAAATTTGGGAAAGTTGGAAAATCCTCATTCCAAATCAATGATGCACATGGAAACCAGGATCCTGAGAGAACCAATGGTGTATGGACCAATTGTTGGTTACCGGCTACTATGTGACTGTATCTCCTTTCGTTGCTTCACTGCAATGTGGATTAGATCTTTAGGTTCCCTAAGAAAACCACCTGCTTAGTTTTGGGCACCATGGCAATATCCACCCCTCACATAAATCGAATGATTTATGTGGCGCATATCTATTTGTTTCCTCCTTGTACCAATGTTTATGTGTTTAAATAAGCCATAAATAAAGTAGTGATGATAGAAATCAAATGCTTCTGACTAGTAAGTATTCCTATGGTCAAAATTGACGTACGGTGACTACTATAAACTATATGATCTATAATTAGTTTCATTAGTACAAGCGTTTTCATCAGTTAAGCTTTTGTTTAATATCCAACTATTTGATTTATTTTATATCTTCATATCCTTAAACTAAGAGATTAAAACCACTTCAGTTCTTTCTTTTTGCGAACTAATTCTTTATTTCCTTATATGCAATCTTTCTTCTATATATTACCACCACTGAATTAACTACTTCTATGAATCCGATGTTCATCTTGTTGTGCTAATGCGGTATGGCAACTTTGACCGATGCGTATATGTGCCTGGTCCTACGTTGCAGCTGACTGACTGAATTTTCTGTTTCTCCCCCCCCTCACATTTTCTTAGTTTTTTCTCATCCTTATTTCCGTCTTTATTAATTTTCTTTTTATTTTGTGTTTTTTCTCATTTGAGGTAGGCTAATTGATATGATAGCTATCTGACTAGGTCCTATGTTGTTTATTAATGTCTTTTTACTGAACAGAAACTATATATTTAGGCAAAGATGGATAGTGGCTTGCAGTGGAATCCAGGATGCGCTATCCGTCTTTACTTAAAAATCTTATGACTTGAGGCTATATCGAGGCAATACGCACAGGATGCACATATGCTAACATGAGACTGATCAATTGCAGTCCTAAATAACAATGGGAAGATACAAGTAAAACAACACTAAGTGAATAGAAACTCTATATTAATTTAGAAAACTTATGATGAATCTGTACTACCTAACACTTTCGTGGCTAAATCGTTCAAAAAGAAATGTCATTACGAATCCAAAGTAGTTTACATGTCAAGAAAAAATGTAAGAAATTGATTTATAGAGTAAAGAATGGTAACAAAACAGGATCATCATTGTGTTGTATGAGACTAAGGCCTAAACTTTTGTTAGGTAGGTTATACCACTTTTTGATTATTAGTAGTACAATTATTAAAAAATGTGTATCAGAAGGATTTTTGTGGAGGTTTTAGTAATTTCATTAGTTGAAATCATGAGTCAATTGAAACTAGATAACCATGGAAAACCCGGAAGCACTGGACGGCCGTTTCGTCCTAGTATGTAACTCCTCAGCAATGCGCATCCACGATCCCGCCCTCCATAAGATTCTAACCCAGAACCTATCAGTGTCGCGCGCGAGACTTCCAGGTTTTCCATGGTGGTCTAGCTTCAGTTGACTCATGATTTCAATTATTGAAGTAAATAATGACATATTTCTTAACAATATGTACTAATTCATTGTTTTATCAAGTTTTAATCTACTAAATTTATTTCGAAGCTTTTTCTCATTTTGTTTTTATTAAAATCTTTACTGTTATTAGGCTGAGCTAATGTAGACTTTCTGAAATGTTATACGTTTCTATTTTTGTGTACTACTTCTAAGAATCCGATGTTCATCTTTGTGTGCTAATGAGGTATGACAACTTGGACCAATGCATATATGTTCCTGGTTCTACATTATAGCTGACTGACTGACTGACTGTGTACTATAAACGCGACATACACTGAAATATATAAGTAGACTGAGTCAATATCATTTCATATGTAGTTCTTTGTTTGATTTGTTCTAATATTCATGTAATATTTCTGTAGACAATGTTTCGATGATACGGATAGAAATAATCTTTGATAGACTGTTTCTTTTGTAAGACAAAAGAAATTGAAAAATTTATATTGAATAACTACTCAATTCACTAATGAGTAGTCTCTTACCATTGTCCGTTAGATTTCAATTATGTTTGCCTTCAAATGAGGCTGTCGATAATTCTACATCATATTCATGATAGAAAAAAAACTTTTTCTTTCTTTCTTTCTATCATTAAATGTTGTTTATTTCTTTAGAAAATATACCAACCTGTGTCACTGTATTCAGTCAAACTGACACAACTTCAATGAAACAAGAACATTGTCTTTCATTAAATTCTGTTGAAAATAAAGTTCCCCAAAATAAATTTAATGAAACTGAGATAGTCAGTAGAGAAAATAATGGTATACATAGAACGTCCCATATACCTAAGACTTCTACGGTAAGTTAAAATTAAAAATAAGTGATCTTTATTTATTATTAATGTTTTACAAAGTATTCGTTGGTTGATTATATCCTTTCTGAGAATGAAGGTTGATTAAATTATTTCACTATTCTAGGATCTCGCTTTCTCTCTCATGAATGTTAAGGTCTATTTCCTTTAGAAGTTCTCTACGATAAATTGCAGTCTTTCTTTGATACTGTCGTTGGTGAATACATAGTAATAAATAACATTTAATGCGATCACTTGCTTATTTTGTTTTAAAGGATGTTTTAATGATCCCGGAGCTACGAGATTCTCATTAGTTAAAAACAATTTGCGCTTCTTTGGAAAGTATCCATGCAAATCTTTGTGTACTTTGTGACCAGAGTACAGCAGCAACTCTTGTCTTTTTTGTTCATATTGTATATTGTGGGTTTAATTTACTTGTCTCCACAGCTATTCGAATGATCCTTCTTGCCCCGTACCTTGTCAAGACACTTACTTTACCTACATTATTTGTTACTATAGTTGCTGAAATGGACAAATGCCTCGTTATACAGAAGAATCTTGGCTTTCATTATGAGGCTGAAGTTAGACATTAACATCGTAAAATGACGGTTCAGTGGTCTAGTGGTTGACTGCTCGCGCGCGAGACTGGTAGGTTCTGGGTTCGAATCTCGCGGGGGGCGGGATTGTGGATGCTCACTGCTAAGGAGTTCCATACTAATAAGACGGATCGGCCGTCCAGTGCTTTCGGGTTTTCCATGATGATCTAGCTTCAAATGATTCATGATTTCAACTAATGAGATTTTTGAAATCTCCACAAAACCCCTCCTGGTCTTTTTATGGTTTACGTCTTTTTAACAGAGCTATTTTTCATGGTGTCAATTTGGTAAACCCCATACCCAACCATCCTTTCCAGAGTATGAAACTGGAAATAACCTTAGAATGGCTCCAGGTGAAGTTTCAGTTTATCTTAAAAATACCTTTACATAGTAAAAATAATTTTCTGTTTGTGTGTAATACTTGTATTTTAGAGGCAAACTATTGATTTATCTTCTTTGAATTTGAATAAACAAAGCAAAGATTTATCTTCAATATACCACCATCATATTAGATCAACTGTTACATCATCATGTAATACAGGAATTACTTCTTGTACATTAATAAGTCAAAATATGAAAGTTCAACATAATGAAAATGATCATTTAACATGTAAACATTATCTATTTAAAGATAATTTTCAATCAAATTCAGTTATATTAAGTCCTATCTGTACTAGTCAACCTATAACAGATCATCGAATAGTTCAAAATGATGTTAATGTATACAAAATGAAATGTGTTCCTACACATTTATGCAATCATTCAGAAGATAATGTTAAGAAGTTCGATACTAAGTTAGGTAAGATCTACAGTTTAATCATATTCTGAAATATGGTTGATATATTGACATTATTTATTTGTTTTTTGACGAGACTCTAATTTATGGACGAGCCAATTAGAAGCGTTTGAGAGATTTCAAGGTGTCGGTGCCAACTTCAGTGCTTAATACTAACGTAGGATCAGTTCACATGGAATTTTGTACAAAACGTGATAATTGAGAGGCTATAACAAATAAAACGGCAAGACTATAATTTGTGGACGAATCAATCAGGTGTAAGATAACAGGTCTCGGATTTTGGCGTGAATGCCTTTCATCCATTTGGCTAAATAGATTTCTGGTATTATAGCTGATGTCAGTTCGTGATGGAAACCCCATATATAATTCTTAACTAAGGCAACTTATGACAATTATTGCGAACTGGATAATAAAATCAACAGTGACACTGGCTGCAGCCAGGAACTACAATATATACGGATGATTGGAGAGTGTACAGACTCCTACACAGACTTGGTTATGTGCATCGTGGGAACTGGACGTAATCCCATCTGACTGCTCTCAATCACTGATTGTGCCAGTCTATAAGAAAGGACAAAAGTTCTCTTGTTACAAACACAGAGGAATCAGTTTGACTAATATAGTGTCTAAAATATTAGCTTCAGTAATACTTAGACGTGAAGAGATCGTGGATGCACACTTCTGAAGAGTCCCATACTAAGACGAAACGGTTGTCCAGTGCTTCCAGGTTTTCTATGATGGTCTAGCTTCAATTGACTCATGATTTCAAGTATTGAAATAACTATGAAAAGTAAAACAAAAAAATCTTTGACATAATTTGTACTGAACTAATTTAAATTATTCCATTGTTTTTTTAATCTATCCATTCTTTTAGTTCAGACCACTGATTTAAGCGATGAAAATACGTGTCCATGTTATCATACCTATAGAATCCAACCTAATACAGTTAATTATTCAAGAATAAAAACATCCACAATTAATCCTGAATGGGTTGAACAACTACTTACTCATAATACAATGCTTAACAACAATAAGAAATCTTCTCAAGAAAATAAGAAACATGATATTACACAATCTATTTGTATGACACCAAGATCAACTCTTATAGCTCAATTGAGATATATATTATTAAAACAAAAACTTAAATTATTACATACACGAGATGCTTATTATTTAAGAAGGCGTATTGTAAATCATCTTGAAAAGTTTTTAAATCAAATAGTTTCATCAAATACATTAGTAAGTGAAAAGATAAATCTATAAATTGTATTGTTTATGTTTATTTGAAATGTTATATTAGATACATATATATATGATATACCTTTGTGGGTCAAAGTAATTATACATTGGTTTTCAGGAGAACCCGGACATCATTTAGACTTCCACGTGATAATCCAAATAGTACAGCTCAATCCCGTTTAACAGGAGAGCCAGATACCATCCAGGTTTAAACTTTATAACCTGAACAGTACAGCTCCCAAATGCCCTGGTACGGCCGAAAGTGAGGAGAATCCGCTCTCCATCTCGAAATTCTCGCACATGGCCACACATATATAGCCTCCGTCAAGGAATTTCTACTCACTGCCTTCTCGTGGCGGGGGTGTTATTTACAAAATTGAGAGGACGAAAAGCGAGACGCCAGCGCTTTAACCGTGTTGATGGACATGGTGAATCCACCTAGAGGAGTTGGAAAACCCTCATTCCAAACCAATGGTGCACATTGGCTCCAGTATCCTGAGGGAAGAAATGGCATATGAACCAATTGTTAGTCACCGGCTACCATGGGACTGCATCTCCTGACGTTGTTCCACTGCCTTGTGGATCAGACCTTCATGTTGAATGCTCCGAGTGTGGTTCCCCAAGAAAACCAACTGCTTCGGTCCGGGCACATGGGCAGTATCCCAGCCCTAACATAAATTGAATGGTTTATGTGGCGCATATGTATCTGGTGCCGCTTGTACCAATATTTATGTGTTCAAATAATAATAATACAGCTCAATCAAAAGAATACCACACACTATGTAGGCTTTAATACTACAATCTGGATAGTACAGCTCAATCTTGGCGAAACCACACAGGTATCGAGTAACGTGGTGGACCATTCGCATCATTCATATACACATTCCCATCACAATGAGAAATTTCTCTTCATTGTATTATACATCTCAACTGCATTTAAAGGATTAATTCAATGAAGCACGCACAATTCAATGAATATATTATTAAACTGTAGAATCGTTTAAATATATGAAAATTGTTTTGTTAAAGTACTAGTCCCGTCAGGAAATGTGAACACGAATAACCAAGATGACGCAATAGTAGGATTGTAATACTAAGTTACGTATTACGAGTAATAACAATAGACTTGATAAGTTTTTAACGAATTATTGCATAATTAGCGCCGTGACCTTGAAATCCCTCAAATGCTCCTGATTGGCTCGTCCATAAGTCATATTCTCACCGTTCTTGCCAGTAGGGGTCTTGATAAATGAGTTGTTTGATCATTGTTAGAGATTAAATAGAATGATATTTACAACCTCTATTGAATACTAGGATTGCCTGATTCAAGCTTAAGTTACCTTATACATAACCTTGTAAGGCTCAAGGTACGATATTTAACTATTTACTTGTTTTCATAGATTTAATATTTTAAAGGAAAGTGAATTTATCAGTATAGGATTGTGAAGATTGTTGAGTTTTTAATTGAGATTATAAAGTGATCAATGTTAGACCACTATTGGAAACTTGAAAGCACTGAACAGCAGTTCCATTCTAGTATCGGACTCCTCAGTTGTACGCATCCACGATCTCACCCCGCAGGATCATTTATTGTTCAATGCTTCTCGGTATATACAGATGATTTATATTTATTCCTTATTAATTTTTTCTTATGTTATTTCACCGCTATTGAAAACATGTTTTACCTGTAGAATATTATCTTTTGACGTTTCGTGACTTAATGTAATCTACCTCTTCAGAGTCGATAAATAACCAAATTAAATTAATACACGTTTAAATAGTACAAACAAAACATCTATATTGTTGTTTCTAATTACTAACCAGTTTATTCCCCTGGACAAGTAACCCTAATTATTTTTCATGAATGAGGTAACATATTTCTTATAGATTACTTAAAACTTTCTGAAAAATCAATAGTTTTACAATTCAACACTTAAGAGGAACCTAATCCTCCATTTTCTGTAAATGGTAACTTTATATTTCTGTAGCCTAAATTATTTTCTCTTACTAAAACAAAAACAACATACGCTCACAAGTGACTAGCTTCAAGGGGTATTTTCTGGAGTTCTAGTGAGAAGCAGTGACTAGTAGAGTTCAGCCGGGTCAGTTGTGAGATAGCAACTCACTGATGAGAATGGTGAATGTGTTGCTCAATTTCGTGGATCAGTTGAAATTAGACCTTAACACCGTTGGATGCTGACCGATAAGTCCCGCGATGTGATATCGTGGATGCGCACTGCTGAAGAGTAGTCTCACAATAGGACGAAACGGCCATCCAATGCTTTCAAGTTTTCTATGATAGTCTAGCTTCAATTGACTCATGATCTCAACAATTCTCATTTAGTTTACATAATAGTTTTCTTTACTCAATGTCCTATTAGTTTTTATGAAGTATATTATACTCTTCATTATAGCAGAATTTGAATTTCAGTAATCATATTAACTTAATTAGTCAAAGAATACATAGATATACTTCCCGTTTATAATGTGTGTCCATGATTTTTTATTGTTTTAGCCTTTATCAAATTCTGTACCAGATGATTGGGATACAGATACCGAATCTTTATTATCGGATTTATTCGAAAAAGATATCGATCCTATATCAAATGAGTTAAATACTGGAAGTAGTCCGAAACTAAAATCATCAACACAAAAATGTAAATTATTAACTAATGAACATGAAGACAATGAACAAATTAATAAGAAAATGTTAAACAAAGGATCATCATCTTCATATGATAGAGAAATATCTAATAGAAATGCTCACTTTGAGGAAGCTCAAAAAGATGTTCAACAGTCTGATAACCCAAGTAAATCGAAAAATTTCATATTAAAGTACCTTACTGTACTTTAATATTTATTTAAACACATTAACATTGGAACAAGGAAGTACCAAATAGATATGCGCTATATAAATCATTCGACTTGTGTGAGCGCTAGGATACTGCCTGGGTGCCCAAACCGAAGTAGGTGGTTTTCTTAGGAGGACACATCCCAAGCCTTCAACCCAAGAGTTTGATCCACAAGGCAGTGAAGCAACGTTAGGAGATGCAGTCACATAGTAGCCGGTGACCAACAATTGGTTCATATGCCATTTGTTCCCTCAGGATCCTAGAACCCATGTGCACCATTGGTTTTGAATGAGGGTTTTTCCAACTCCCCTAGGTGAACTCTCCGTGTCCACAAACCCAGTTAAAGCGCCGGACATTCACTTTCCGTTCTCTACATTTCGTAAACAATAATAATAACGTCAAGAGAAGACAGTGAGTAGGACTTCCTTGTTAGTGGTTGTATGTACGTGACCACTTGAAAGCATTTGGAGAGGGAGAGCTGGCTCTCCTCACTCTCGGCTGCACCAAGGCATTTGGGGCTATTATATGTCTGGTATATACCATTACTGAAAATTTATTTCGAAGGAATATTAGTAAAACCTTGAATATGTACATCTAGAGTTGACTGATGAATAAGAAATTTTACCGAAAATCAACTAAGGAATTCGTATTATATCTTTAATATTTCAATGATTTTCTTGATGGCTATTATATTTTATTGCTTGTCAGAAATATATAACGACAATAGTATAAAGATCAAGATCTTTTGTCATCTAATTTAATGTTTACCAATTGTTTTGAAAGTTTAACAACAAAATAATTATCATTCTGGAAGTTGTGAAGATTGTTGCATTTCAATTGAGATCATGAACAACTGATCAATGTCAGATCACCATTGAAAATCTGGAAACTTTCGATGGCTGTTTCGTTCTAGAAGTTCCATACTAGTGTGGTGTGTGTTACTGATGTCGGCAGATATAAGTAATGTGATGTGGGTTACTTACATTGACATAAGTAGTATATAACGCGAGTTAAGAATGTAATGTCTAGCAGCAGAAGATTGAGAAGATCAAGAATGAAAGAAAGGGAACGGAACGCAATTGGTATGAAAATGCATGAACAATGAAATCTGAGACAATGGATTGACATTTTGCAAAACGAAGTATTTATTGTATGGGCATTCAAATACATTCGACTGTCACCACTTGTATGTTCTCGTTCACTACAGCACGACCAACCGTTGTTATATTGTGATCTAATGTCCAACTAACTCCTCTGTTGGACAGGATATTCAGAAAGTCATACGACTTGTTTAATTAATTAGATCATCTTAGAAACATTACTACATTTATAATCAATTCTATTATTTTGATGGCCCCAAAATGCCCTGTTACAACCGAGAGTTCGGAGAGTCAGCTCTCCTTATATAATTTTAAGTTCAAATACATTTGATTGTCCCTTTTTTTGTTCTCATTCACTACACTAACATGGAACTTCTATCCAGTACTTCCAGATTTCAATGGTGGCTTAATATTTATCGATCCATGATCTCAATTCAAACAAAATAATCATTTGTTAGATGATGGGAATAAGAGAATGAAAAGTATAAAACTCTGATAGTTGTTCTTCCTTGAATTAATTTGTATATATCAGAAGGGGTTTTGTGGATATTAAAGTAATTTCAATGGTCGAAATCATGAGTCAGTTCAATTTAGACCGCCATGGGAAACCTGGAAGCAACGGACGGCCGTTTCGTCCTATTGTGGGAATTCTCAGCAATGCGCATCCACGATCTCGCAGTGACCAGTAGAGTTCAACCAAGTCTGTTTGAGATAGTGACTCCCTGAAGCCAATGGTAGTTGTGTCGCTCGTTTTTGTGGATTAGTTGAAGTTAGACATTAACATTGTTGGATGCTCTCCATCTCAGTGATCTAGAGGTTAAGCGTTCTCGCACGAGACTGATAGGTCCTGGGTTTGAATCTCGCGGGGAGCGAGGCTGTGGATGCGCACAGTTGAGGAGTCCCACAATAGGACGAAAAGGCGGCCCAGGGTTTTCCATGGTGGTCTAGTTGTAACTGACCCATGATCTCAACCATTGAAATTCATTTGCATTTGTTTTTTTTCTTTTCGTGGGTTACTGTAGAATGTAAAATACTATATCTAATGTGATTATATCGTTTATAAAATTACAGTTTTCAGGTTCATTACTACCTGTCAATAATAGTACGAATTCTCAAAACTAGACCCGTTGGCATTTGTTTACAATGTTTATCATGTCCAGTTAGCTACTGAGTCTTGAAAGCCACTATGGTCTTTGAATTGAACGGTACTAGGTTCGAGTCTCAGAGTAAACACCAACTATCAGATGTAGGTACATCCAGCTGACTAGTCCCAAATAAGACGAAACGTGCGTCAAGCTGTATACCACTGCTAGCCACTATCCATCTTTGCTTAGAATGCTCGTAAATTAAGGTAATATCGAGGCAATCTGCACAGAATGCACCTATTCTAGTAAGTGACTGATCAATTACAGTCCTAATCATCAATGAGAAAATTTAAGTAAAACAATACCAAGTGAATTTAGTTATTATAATAGCATGAAAAGTTAACTGTTATTTTAATTTCAATAATTAAGATCATGAGTCAATTGAAGCTACACCATCATGTAAGACTTGGAAGCACTGGATGGCCGTTTCGTTCTAGTTTGGAACTGCTCAGTAGTGTGCGTCCATGATCCCGCCTCGCGAGATTCGAAACCAGAACCTATCAGTCTCGCGCGCAAGCGCTTCACCATTAGACCACTGAACCGGCATCCAGTGGTGTTAATATCTAATTTCAACTAATCCACAAAATTGAGCATCACATCCACCATTGTCTTTAGTGAGTTACTATCTCACAACTGACCCGGTTGAACTTCACTGGTCACTGCTTCACACTAGAACTCCAGAAAATAACTCTTGATGCTAGTCACTAGTGAGCATATGCTGATTCATATCAGAAGGGGATTTTGTGACGATTGTAGTAATTTCAATAGTTGTGATGATGAGCCAATTGATAGATTAATTTTTTTTTCTTGGAATAGGCAACATACAAAAAGTGTCAAGTATTTCAGTTGTAGATAAGAATGGATGTAAAGATAATGATAAACAATTCACTGATATTAAGAAGCAATCAGAGAATCAATTAAGTAAAATGGATATGACTGTACGTGTCAATCAACCTTCATCTTTATCAATATGTAAGAATTTGAACGAAACATTATCAAGGTTCATCCATCGTGATCATCATGCTAAAAATGAAAAGTCACTCAATGATCATTTTTCATTAAATACCAACATTCGATTATATCCGTCCTCAGAAAATATAGTGAATGGCATATGTGCAGCATTAGGTAAGTTGTTTTACTGTTTAATTTATTTGTTACGTCATTGATCTGTCTACCCACTTTTGGTGCTGAGGATAACTTGTCTAATCTAAAGATTAAGACCTTGACTCAATAAGCTGACCAGCCTAACTTTGAGGCTAGTATGCGTGAGTTCTAAGTGAGGTAGAGAGAAGAAAACTGTTCTATCACTTGATTGGCTGACAAACATGCGAGAGAAGACAAGTCAACTGGAACACTACTCGATTTATTCTCAATTCCGATCTGGTTCCCGATTTCAGATCAGTGTAAAAAGATACATGAATAAATAGACGAAAATACAATTATGTCTAATACTGAAGATTAGCATAGGAAATAGAGTACAAAATAATACGTTTAAGTTACAATAGCTTTGGAACAAAAAGGGCTATGATAGTGAATCATACATCAAACGAAACTTATGATTTGTAGAATAGACTAGAGTCAAAAATAAATGTTGCCGTTTTACAAGCCTTGAATTAAATGAAATAACATCCCCCAAAAATTAGCTTCCATAGTTTGTCAAGGCTTCTTGTTTCTCTGTTCACATCAGTATTCAAATAATATAACAATTTATTATTGCGTTTTAATATCATTGTAGGTATGTGTGTTATCACAAAATGCTGTATATATGTGTATAACAGGGATATAATACTAAATAGGCAAATGTATCATTCTTTGGTAAAGACAGAAAAAAGAATAAAGAATGCTAGTGTAAATATAAATTCAAGCTAGACCACCACCAATGAACATTCGTTTTGTCCCATTATAGGAATCCTCATCAGTGCGTATTCAGTAATCTAGAGGTTAAATATTCGGGTGCAATACTGAAGGTCCTGGGTTCGAATCCTACGTACGAGATTGTGAATGCTCACTGCTGAAAATTTCGATACTAGGATGCTATCAAATTTTCTAGCTTCAATTGATTCATGAATTCAACTATTAAAAATCATATTAGCCGTTAAATCAACTGAATAATAGTATAACATAAGTAATAGTATATCATCTTAATGTATTCAACATTTCCAGTTTAAGAAAAAAACAAAATAAGTAGAGAATTACCAAATGAATATCTTTACCAGTATTTATTTATTCAAACACATAAACAATCGTATAAGGAGGTACCAAATAGATAAGCGCTACATAAATCATTCTATTTATGTGAGATACTACCCAAGTGCCAAAAAGTAAGTAGGTAGTTTTCTTAGAAAGCCACACCGGGAGCCTTAGATCTAAAGGTCTAATCTATAAGGTAGTGGAGCAACGTTAGGAGATGCAGTCACATAGTAGCCGGTGACCAACAATTGGTTCATATGCCATTTGTTCCCTCAGGATCCTAGAACCCATGTGCACCATTGGTTTTGAATGAGGGTTTTCCAACTCCCCTTGATGGATCCTCCGTGTTCACAAACCCAGTTAAAGCGCTCGTCATTCACTTTCCGTTCTCTACATTTCGTAAACAATAATAATAATGTCAAGAGAAGAGAGTGAGTAGGACTTCTTTGTTAGTGGTTGTATGTACGTGACAACTTGAAAGCATTTGGAGAGGGAGAGCTGGCTCTCCTCACTCTCGGCTGCACCAAGGCATTTGGGGGTAACAAGTGAATCTTAAAATCAAATTAACTATAATCGCCAATTGATAGAAGTAATATAGACATCTGATTGACTAAGACTCCACAGTTATTACTTAAAATATTAAGTGAATGTAAAACAAAATGAATAAACATTTATTGAATATAGAAAAGTTCTAAACGATAGACTGTTTAAATGTAATTTGACATTAACATCTTTAGATGCCGGTTAGCTTAGTGGTCTCAAGGTTAAGCGTTTGCGCTTGAAACTGATAGGTCCTGAGTTCGAGTCTCGTGGGATGGGATTGTTGTTGCGTACTGCTTAAGAGACCAATAGTAGGATGAAACGGCCGTCCAGTGCTTCCAGGTTTTTCATAGTGATCTAGCTTTATTCGACTCATAAACTCAATTGTTTGAATTGAATTGAAAAAAGAAATGTTAACAGACAATAATATTAAATAGTTAAGCTCTAAAGAATAGTTTGAAGAACTCAATAATACAGACCTAATACCTTAGATTTTAAAGAAACTCTTTTTTATCAATAAAACTGATCTATATTTGAGTATACTCTTATCAGATGAACAAATGTTTCAAATAGGTTCACAAATTATAGTAAAGTAATGAACAAAATAAACTAACGAAGATCGATCCATCGGTACATAGAAGACAACGTGTATGTAAGAAGCTGAATCAAGTATTTATAAGTCAGTCAGTCAGTAACAATGTAGAACTTCGTACTTATGTGCGTAAATCAGTTCGAGTTACCATACCACATCAGCACAGAGATGCAGTTGTCAATTCAAATCCCACAGTGGTGGAGGTAGTAAAAGTATAAGCAGTTATCGGGAAGATTAGGGTTTGAAGATGTTATTCAAGGAGTATAATACAATGAAATAAATTTGGATAGAGAAAAAAGGAAAATGAAGAATTCATAAGATTAGAATTTGATAGAACACAAAAAGTGGATGTACATGCGCCACTGCAAACGATTTTGAGCCATTCATTCAAGGTCTCAAACCATCGGTTGCTATCATCTAGTGGATCACAACCAGGTAGTCTGCACCTACCAACATGGCACATTTCACTTGTCAGTGACTTGATGAATTTGTGCCATGTTTTGTTCTGGCCACCCCTAGCTTTCTTTCAACCTACTATATATCTCACTGTTATAACTTGTGATTCAACTGCTTACTTCTTTATCTGATCGTCGCTGATTGTTATGTCGGAGACGCTTACTCAGAACGAGGGACCTCCGCAATTCCCTCGACGCGAAAGTAAGAACACAAAGACTGGTATAAATGAAGGTTTAGTAACCTCCAAAACACAACGACGACAATGACCTTAGTCGAAAATACACTCATTTATATATTGATTGTGCACCCAGTTTGACTAATAATTAGAATGAAATCACATATATAAAAATATACGATTATAACGAATCACATGCCAAGCATAGTTCATCTCTATTGAATACAAGAATATCGTATATTATACAGAATAAAATATCGTACCGGGAATACAAAACCGAATACTACACTAAATGATCATCACATTGAATCGAAAGGGGTGTAATGTTGAACAATATTGTGATAATGAGTAAATCAATTCAATTTTAACTATTCTTTCCATTATCTCACTCACTAATCATTTGACATGTTTGATATCTTTCGATAGAATAATAAGATTAAAATTGATTGATCACTGGGTGATGATCAATGTCATGTATATCAGGTCATTCTTAGTGCAGATCGAATCCTATCGACAAAGTCGCAATGTGGCCACTTATCTAGGTGACTCGACATTGCGTGCACTATATTGAGATAAGATGGTGATTGGGGGTAGTCAACAGGAGACCCTGGACCTAGGTTTCGTGCTACTTGGCACCCGTCAGCAAGGTGTACCTGTAATCTTGAGGGAACTGATGCTCCCTGACGGATTCGATCCCGTGTCATACACCTCCTCAGTCAGAGATGCTACCACTAGGCTATCCGAGTCGCGACTGACCTCCTGTAGGAGTGAGATGTATTTACAATTGATTGATCAGTGGATGATGATCAATGTTATGTGTGTCAAGTCCTTCTTATTGTAGATCGAATACTATCGACCAAGTACCATGTAGCACGAAACCCGGGTTCATGATTTCCTTTTGACTACCTCCAACAACCATTAATAAGATTGAATTATGGTTTCTTCAACTCTTGAACTTCTTTATATTTGTATTCATACTATCAATAAATACTTCATTCACCTAACTTTTCTTTTATATTTCTTATAAATCACATTATCAGGTGGTATATCTTGGTTTCAACCTTTCAATGATAATTATATAAATAAAGGAAAACACCAATCAATAAGAAATCATTCAGTGATCAGACATACCAAATTAAATGATCATTTTGATTTGAAACATAATCTAAAATCATCTAATGAATTTCATTTGAATAATAAAAGTTTACATATTTTAAACAAACCTAACAATGTACATACATCTAAGATCTCATATTGTATGCCAACTAATAATAAAGATCTAAAAAGTGATCATAATGAAATGAATGATATGTGTTCATGTCAATGTTATATAGAAGAATCTCCTGATATAATAAGTGACAAGAATCAAGGTAAAATTGATATTATGTTAACCCAATTGTTTCATTGTGCACATAATTTTGATATATATATATATATACCGAACGTTGGTGTTACCATGATGTGATAGTCTAGCTTGCCTATCGTAATGAACTAATCAGGTTATATTGGCTGGAATAGTCGTTCCTCAAAATCCTACCATCAAATCAGTTGATGAGATGGTGAATCTTCATCGACTAAGATGGTCGGGTCACGTGTAACGTGTGCTTGAACACCGATTACCACGACACGCAATGCTGACTAGTGTTGGGGATGGTCGGAAAAAAAATTGGGGGCGACCAAACCAAAATGGGGCATCAGTGTTTGAAGCCATTAACTTTTAATCTTATCCATGTTAGTGGATGTAGACTATTTGGTTTGGGTCCACGTGACTATCGTAAACAATGGATGGAGAGTGTGTATGACATGGCAAGTCACTAACTTTTAGTCTTAGCCATGTTGGTAGATGCAGACTACTTGGTTGGGGTGTGCGGGACTATCGTAATCAATGGTTGGAGACTTTTGGTGACATGGCTCAGAATCGATCACGATAGCGTAGGTGTATACATTCTCTGTCTTCCCTTAAACTATGAGATTAAAATTGCTTTATATCTTTCTTTCTACGTCATAAATCTTTATTCCTTATATGCAATCTTTCTTCCATATATATTACCGTCATTGAATAAACTACTTCTATGAATCAGGTGTTCATCTTACTGTGCTAATGAGTGAGGTGTGGCAACTTGAACCGATGCATATATGTGCCTGGTCTTATTTTGTAGCTGACTGACTGACTGACGATGCTAGGTAGGTCGGTTGATGAGAGGTAAGAATAAGAGTAGCGAATCCAAAATCTTAAGGTGAAGTTGTACTGTTGACTGCACAGGGGTGTTACAGCAGTAAGGCGTCTCCCTTAGACAATCAGTATAACAGCGAGAAAAGAAAAATAACTGAACTTGAGTTTTGATTATTCACATTTGATCTACTGGAATTCCATGTATATAAACATTTAATAAGTTAGTCAGTGGTTTTAAGTGATGTTTGGGATATGAAAGCGGTTATCACTTCCCGGTTTCCCACATCGTGGAAGGGTTCTCCCAGAAACACCTGAAAAGTAAATTGGGTTAGAGGTGAACTTATTGACCTGAGAGCGTAACCGTGGTGCTCAAGGTACAACTGCTTGAGGCCGGTCACACACGACATTTTTTTGAGTAATTCTCGTATTAGCTCCGTACATCTTGGGACCTTACTGCCGGAAATCGAAATCGTGCGGTAAGACGAAGTGTCCATTTTTAGGATGAACATTTTCTAACTCCTTCCTTTCTGGCAGGGCAGCATCACTGTTATACTGGTTGCCTGAGCGAAACGCTTTACTTCTGTAACACCACTGTGCAGTTAACAGTACGACTTCACTTTCGGACCTTGAGTTTGCTGCTTTTAGTCTTGCCGTTCTTCAACCGAGGAACGATTGTTCCAGTCAGTATAGATCAATTGGTTTATTGCGATAGGCAAGCCCGATAACCACTTCAAGGTAGCAGCAACAATAGATGAACCTAAATAAAATTTTATGAAAAAAATAATGACATTTATATTGTAACTCATTGATTCACTATATTTCTGCAGATTCTACTGTTTGACAGTTCATCAGCAAAAATTACCAAATAGTCTGAAGATAAAATAAAGAAGTAATTTTCAGTTGTATAATTTTCCACATCGAATACATGTAAAGTATTACTTTTATCAGTATAGGGTTGTGGAGATTGTTGAGTTTTTATTGAGATCATGAATTGATCTCTTGTGCAGAATCGTGGATGCGCATTATTGAAGAGCCCTATACTGGAACGAAACTACCATCCAATGTTTCCATGTTTTCAGTGATGGTCTAACATTGATACTATTATGTTTAAATCTGCTTTCTTGTGTAATTTTTTGTTTGATAGTAGAAGACAACATTATCTGATTGAAATTACCGGTTGTTTTGTTTTATTTCAGAACAAACTATAACATCGGAATCGATTGTAGATATGCAACCTCACCATATGGAGAATATAACACTACATACTGTGGAAAATTTGGCTTACGAAGGGAAAGCCAGTAACTTGTCAAATCCGAAAATAACTTATGAAATTAGCGATAATCCGGATGGTTGTACAGATATTCAGGATATATTTCGAAAAAAAATGTCATCATGGATATCACGAAGTGAAGAACGTCAAAGACGTTTACGTTTTCTTATTCAGGAACGTCACTATCGAAAAGAAGGAGATATGAAGCGAGCTGAAGTCTTACATTCAGCTGTATCAAATAATTTTTCAAAACGACCATCTATATCTCACTTGAATCAGTCATGTAATAATCACTTTGGTAACGGAATTCATTCAAATGGTGATAGTGAACTTCGTTGCCTTGATCATTCACATTGTTCAGCTGTTGGATCCGTACTAACAAACAGAAATAATAGTAATAATTATTTTAAGACAGCTAATTCTGACAAGGTTTTTAAACGTAATGTCATAAAAAGTAAGTCAGTTGTATAGGACAAATATCTATTTGATGACTGAATTTCATTTCTATGTGATGTATGATAGGATCCATAGTGGTATTGAGTACGAGTCCGGAAGTGAACATCAAATTTGAGATACAGGTATATCCAGCTGACGAGTCCCAAATAGGACGAAACGCGCGGCACGGATTCCATTGCTGGCAACTATTCCCCTTTGCTTATAATGCTTGTAACAAAGTTTTGTTTGGTTTACAAACAAGTTCTAACTGGGACCGCCTCATCACTGAATTCCCACTGATTGATGATAATTTAAACTTCCAACGATCGAGTTCTATCCTATCCCTGCCTGCATTGTAATACAAGATAAACATTGTGTTTTCGTCTGTGTGATCGATTGCTTGATGTTAAGAGGGTACATAGTCAGCCAGCAGAAAGCATACTTTCTATTCGGTAAAACTGTTGACTTGAAAGATTTACAGAGCGAAAACTGCTCAACAAAATAACTTTGAGGAGACGAAAACCTATTTAAAATTACAGCCACTATTTTTATGGGTTTACATGAACATTTACTTATTCTCAATCATTCAACATGTGACCGGATTGTTCTTATCGACTTTTCCTCTTTCCCTTCCTCCCTCTCTTACTTCTTTCTCCATTCTAAAGAAGCTTTCTGTTGAAAGATGTGCACCTTGTTCTTATATGATCACTTTTGTTTTATCAGTAGATCAGTTTTAAATGTTACCTTATAATTGCATTTTGATTAATTATAGTTAAATTGTTGGTCTTCACAAATTTTGATTTTATTCTATCGGTAACTTTTTTGAAAATACTAATTTAGATCCCAGTCGAAAATCTCAAGTTGGTGTTAGATATGATCGAAAACAGTCAATACAAGAAGAACATCGACCTAGGTAAGTATTTGTCAATGATCTTATTAACAACAAATAACGAATATATTTTATGAAAGTGTTGGGATGGTATCCAAGAACTACGACGGAGCCTCCAGAGGCCTTAGAGGAGCCGAAAAGTTCCATTTAATCAGAACGCAACGAAGCTTCCTAGAATGTCAACTTGGCATGCTATCATTGATTAGTAGCATAATATACCACTTTGCGGATTGGTTGAATCATAATGTTGATTTAACAAACACCAATATCTATAAACACCCATGATTTTCTGTACATTTTGATTCTTGGCCAACAAGCACTTTCTTCAGTCTTCTTCTATCTTCTCATTTGTGACTTGGGAGAATTCTAGATTTCGAGTGCTACAGTTATACGCGGTACATCAAGAATCTAAGATCTAGATATAGCACAACCAAAAATTTTCTTTGAAAATAATCACAGTTGTCGGATTAATGTTATAAGTCACATCTTCAACCTTCGATTTCGATAGAATCAAGAAATGCGAAAAGACAGACTACTGACCTAGTGAGTTGTATGGCAATTCAGGTATAAATAAAATAATCAAGTAATATTACATCATTCTCTATTGACATTAAGTAAATAATCCCTTTCGTGAAGATTTCATTATTTCCATTGAATAAACTCATTATTATGAACATGGTAACTACTGCTTAGTTTATTATTTCTCATTAAGCACCGAAATGCCCTGATATGGCCGAGAGTGGGGAGAGTCATCTTTCCCTCTCGAACTGCACTCACATGGCGACGCGTGTACAGCCACTGACAGAGAACTACTACTCACTAACATCTCGCTGCGGGGGTGTTTTTTACGAAATCGAGAAGACGAAAAGCGAGTGTCCAGTGCCTTAACCGGGTTGGTGACTAAGGAGGATCCACCTAGGGAAGTTGGAAAACCCTGATTCCAAACCAATGGTACACATGGGCTCCCGGATTCTGAGTGAAAAAATGGCGTACGAATCAACTGTCGGTTACCGGCTACCATGCGACTGCATCTCCTTACGTTGCTCAACTGCCTTGTAGATCTGACCTTTAGGTCGAAGTCTCCGGGTGTGGCCTCCAATGAAAATCACCTGTTTCGGTTTGGGCACCCAGGAAGTATCCCAGCCCTCACACACATCGAATGATTTGTGTGGCCTTTATCTATTTGGTGCTGCGTTTTCCAATGTTTAAATAAATGAATAAAAATTCCTCATTGAGCAAATAGTTGAATCAAATCTATGGATGTTTACATTTGTTATTGTTATGATTACATCACTAATCTGCTATGATCTGTTCTATACTTTTGAATTATGTATTGCTAAGGATATTAAAATAACACCAACTAGTTACTTACGGTTGGTAGAAAAATATAGATAATGTGTGAATTGTTAACCATTGTTGAACTTGATGAATGACAGAATTTTAAAGAACACGAAGCTTTTTCTTTATTATATTCAGAGAAGGGGTTTTGTGGAGATATTAGTAATTTCAATAGTTGGAATCATGAGTCAATTGAAGCTAGATCATCATGGAAAACCTGGAAGCACTGGACGGTCGTTTCGTCCTAGTATGGGACTCATCAACAGTGCGCATCCACGATCCCGCCTCGCGAGATTAGAACCCATAACCTATCAATCTCGCGCGTGAGTGCTGAACCTCTAGACCACTGAACCGGTATCTAACGGTGTTAATGTCTAAATTCAACCAATCCACGGAGTTGCGACACAGTCCACCATGGTCATCAGTAAGTTACCATCTAAAAGATATCAGTTTGTAGGTTATATTGACAGATTGTTTTTTTTGTCCCTATCAGAGAATATGAGTTATTTTCTGATCTTTTCTTCTTATTTAACATAGATTATATCATAATTCTATACAGAATCAAGTTAATCAACAAAAAATTAAATTGGCTCAATTACGTGTTAATCGACTCCGAATGAAAATATACAGTGAAGTAAGTAATTCTATTTGTATATTAATTACACTTTAGATTACATAATTATTTACAATTTATTGATCACTGGATGATCATCAATGTCATGTATTTCAGGTCATTCTTAGTGCAGATCGAATGCCATTGATTAAGTTGCAATGTGGCCATTAGTCCAGGTGACTCGACATTGCGTTCACTATATTGAGATAAGATGGTGATTGGAGGTAGTCAACAGGAAACCCTGGACCTAGGTTTCGTGCTAATTGGCACCCGTCAGCAAGGTGTACCTGTAATCTTGAGGGAACTGGTGCTCCCTGACTGATTCGATCCCGTGTCATACACCTCCTCAGTCAGAGATGTTACCACTAGGCTATCCGAGTCGCGACTGACCTCCTGTAGGAGTGAGATGTATTTACAATTGATTGATCAGTGGATGATGATCAATGTCATGTGTGTCAAGTCCTTCTTATTGCAGATCGAATCCTACGGACCAAGTTACAATATGGACACTAGTCTAGGTGACTCGACATTGCGTGCACTATGTCAGAGAGCATCAGTTCCCTCAAGATTACAGGTACACGTTATTGACAAGTGCCAAGTAGCATGAAACCTCGGGTTTAGGGTTTGTTGTTGACTACCTCCAACCGCCATCTCATATAATTATTTATCTGTTTATTGAGTTTCTTTTAATTATGTGTTTGTTGGAATTTTTTATTCTAGAAAATTCTACGTTCTGTACTTCATGGTAATTCATCGTCAATAATATTCAAAGAAATTTAATATAATCGCAATCATGAGATGGTAGAGAAGACTTATAGTTCAGGTGGATGATTTTGATGGAGTTTTTTTTTTTTCTCTGAAATGGATGATTTGGTTGTGGAGTATTCATCGTTCTTCTGAATAGTAACATCAATAGAAACACAAGCTTCGAATACAAGTGGAATTGTTCGAATTGTGTTGATGATGTCATTCAAAAGAACGATGAAAGTTCCATGACCAAACCAATCCAAATCAAAGAACAACACTCTATCATAATCGTGATTAAATATCCTAATAATACATGCACATACATACTAATTATATTTGAAGTAATGATTGAAATTATCACTAATGAAAAACAACATTTTATTGTAATTTAATTTTAACATTTTATTATTAGTTTTATGTTGTTAATTTTATAACATATTAACTATTCACAATTTCATTTATCCCTGTGTAATGATTATGATTTATAAACTGGTTGAATTAGTTTCAATAAAACATATAATCTTGGAATGAACATCAACTTTGAAATACAAGTAGATTTAACTGACGAATCCTAAATAGGATGAAATGTGCAATAAAATTGGATTCCATTACTAGCCATTATCTATCTATGTTTATAAAAGCTTATGACTTAAGAAAAGATTGAGGCAATCCGCACAGGATGTACATGTACCAATAAGAGAATGATCAATTGCAGTCCTAAACAACAATCGGAAGATACAAACAAACAAACAACATTGAGTGTATCTCACTTCATGTTTATCAGGGTAACATATTGACACAATAATAGTATGAGATGAGTTTTGTATGATTGGATGTCAATTCTTTGTATTTTCTAAAACCAAATTGTTACGTCATTGAACTGTCTACCCACAAATATGCAGAAGAGAACTTGCTTCAATCTGGATTAAGACCTTGACGAAATAAGCTGATTGATTTAACATGAAGGCTAGTATGCGTGAGTTCGAATTAAGACTAACTACATGGAGTAAAGGCCCCCAAACGCCCTGGTACGGCCGAGAGTGGGGAGAGTCTGCTCTCCCTCTCGAAATACTCTCACATGGCCACGCGTATATAGCCCCTGCCAGGGAAGTCCTACTCACTGCCTTCACGTGGCGGGGGTGTTGTTTACGAAAATGAGAGGACGAAGAGCGAATGTCCGGCACCGGCTTTAACCGCATCCAAAACCAATGGTGCACATGGGCTCCAGTATCCTCAAGGAACAAATGGCGTATGAACCAATCGTTGGTCACCGGCTACCATGAGACTGCATCTCCCTACGATGCTCCACTGCCTTGTGGATCAGATCTTCAGGTCGAAGGCTCGGGGTGTGGCCCCCTAAGAAAACCACCTGCTTCGGTTTGGGCACCCGGGCAGTATCACAGCCCTCACACAAATCAATTGAGATCTGTGTGGCGCATATGTATTTGGTGCCTCCTTGTACCAATATTTATGTGTTAAAATAATAATAATACATGGAGTAAAGAGACGAATACTATTCTATCAACTAATTGGTTGACAAGTGCGAGAGAGAGAAGACGAGGTAACTGAAATATTACTCGACTTATTCCCGATTCCGATCTACACTTTGATCTGGTTCTAATTCAGATTAGTGTAAAAGGATACCAAGCAAACAACAACAACACATAAACAATTAGGAATAATCAATGATGTTCAAAACTTGTGATTGTTGGCAGTGATTTCAAAACTGTTTAAGATTCATTAATGATATCATTGGAATAGAGACACATTCTCCGAATGTTTTTTCCACAATTTTTGTGACATATTTTAGCCACCTAAATCTTGTAACGACTATGTGACAAAGCAAGAATCGAATAGGTTGAAAAGCATCCATAATTCCTTACATTTTACCATTGAAAAGGTTAAGTATACACTCAAGTAACGTCAACAAAAAACAAAATAAATGCAGCTTGGGTAGTTTATCGTTATATAGGGATCATTAGATTAGCGGTATTCATGTAAGATGAAAACTTGCAAACACAGAAGATAGATTAACCAACGAGGTTCTAAGTATGAGTCATATGTTATCCAAGATGATCTTTCTCTTACTTTAATCTGTGATACTAACTGAAATACTTGTCTTGGTAAAAATAAGGAATGAACAAATACAAATTTGATAATGATTTATCACCTTAATATCTGTTGACATGACCGTTTATACAAGTGACTTGAGGTAATTCATATGGTAGATATAAATCAAATTCGATCAAAATGCTTGAAATGCATGAATAGATTATTTCTTAAATCTTTCATAACTTTTAACCCTGAACATAAGTTGTCTTATGTTCGGTCATGTCTATCTTATTTATATGAGTTAATTTGATAAAAATGAAGATATTCTTTGCCAAAAAGACTCAAAAACAAAAATATCAATTTAAAGGAGTACAATAATTTGGAACGGAGACTTAAGATAATTAACCTACTTAATAAATCATGTTTACTAAATACTTCTTGTTCTACGGTCTATTACCCTCAATCACTTCATTTACATTGGTGGTTACTCTATATTAACCAATTTCTTCCATGTCTGGATTTCAACGCCATCAAACCGGAAAAATTTCAACATTCAAAAGGCAACCGTAAAGATCTATACCTATGTTGTAGGAACCATTGAGGAAACATGAAAATTTATAACATGTCCTATAATACTGCGCAATAACCGACAATTTAAGTTGCAAACAACACATTGAAATGTGTAATCTGACAGGTGTTAAAATTCACCGATTGGAATTTTAGTTTCTTCTATGGATTATTATAAGGTCAGACTTGGAGAGATTCGGGTTGGTATACATGGCTCCTGAAAGAGTCCTAACTTCAAACAACGAAACTTAGTTTGTCAGATTACACCAGATTTGAGCAGCTATCTGGTTTATATCCCAAATAAACATTTGTAAGGAAAGCACCGTAGAAAAGGGCTGCAATCACTGCAAACACCGAGGTCACTATGGTAACGTTTACACTTGGACTTTACTGGCTCATACTTAATGCAAAAACCTACTTTCTAGTAGTTAATACATTATTATCATTATTATTTGAACACATAGATATTGGTACAAGGAGGCACCAAATACATATGCGCCACACAAATCTCATTTGATTTGTGTGAGGGCTGTGATACTGCCCGGGTGCACAAACAGAAACAGGTGGTTTACTTAGAGGGCCACACTCAAAGCCTTCGATCTAAAGGTCTGATTTACAAGGTAGTGGAGCATCGTAGGGAGATGCAGTCCCATGGTAGCCGGTGACCAACGATTGGTTCATACGCTATTTCTTCCCTCAGGATACTGGAGCCAGCCCATGTGCACCATTGGTTTGAAATGAGGGTTTTCCAACTCTCTCAGGTGGACTCTCCATGTCCACCAACCCGGTAAGAGCGCCGGACATTCGCTTTTCATCCTCTCAATTTCGTAAACAACACCCCCGCCACGAGATGGCAATGAGTAGAACTTCCCTGGCAGAGGCTATATACGCATGGCCATGTGAGAGCATTTCGAGAGGGTGAGCGGACTCTCTCCACTCTCGGCCGTACCATGCAATTTTAGGTTCCATAATTAAGAAACTACGTCGGCTATTCCATCGTTTCGAAATTCCAGAGATAATAGTGACAATAGAATGCAGTCTACGTCTCCTGTCTTCTCACAATTTTATCAGCAGAATGAAACAAATCATGTCCGGACACCTCGTTGCACAGTCAATCTAATGTCCGAGTCAAACGTTTTGCAATTAAAAACCAAATCCTCGAACAACTAACCGGGTCTCTCTGGCAAAAACTTTTTTTCAGCAAAACACCACGTAAATCTTTCGATGAAACCGTTTAAGTCTTGGTAAAAACTAGTTCAATCAACACGAAGATGGTTTACTGCGAGTCGAATAGAACTTACTATGGACTACCGAGCAAATACTCTATATAGACAACCGGTTGAATCGTGGGAAGAAAAAATGAGGCGATATTTCTTTCAGAAACCTGAGTATGCTAAGCAAATCAATCTAAAGAGACTTCGAGCCCCATCAATGAGAACCAACAAAGAATAGTCCTCGATATTCGGTTAGAAACTTCCGATGTCAAATCTCCAGAAGCAGTCGAAATAGTTCCTGAGAAGACAAAAACAGACAATGCTTTTTTATTGACAAGAACTTGGATGAGCCTGAGGCGTAAACCAGTAGTTTTGAGGCTATTAAATTCAAGAGAAGTATGCAATTAAGAAACAGATAATGGGGAATTTACCAATTTATTTAAAATAAACTTAGTTCATCGGCTTTCAATGTATTTTCACACGTATCGAACTATTCAGTATGAAATTCGTTACCTTGTTTTCAATATAAATTGATTGTACTATTTAATGTGTTGAAACTTGTATTTGCTGACAACTAATGAGTCTATAAACTACTTACTTACGCCTGTTACTCCTCGTGGAGGAACATAGGCCGCCCACCAGCACTGTCCGCCTGTAGCTCTTCTAAAGTTACTGTCGGTTCCAGGCCCGGGTAAAGGAGAAAAATTGGGCATGGAGTTAGCGACCCCATCCCGTAGAAAACTAACTCACCAAAAAACGCTAACCAGGAAGAATAATTCAAATCAGTTTATAAATTAAAATCATTTTAATCTTATACACTGCTTTTTTCCTTGACGTATATTTACGTTTTACCAAAAGCCTTGTTTTGATCTAGAGATAGGTTGAATGAAGTGGTGTCCTAGGATACTAGACCATAGAATAAAACAAACTCCAATTAGTTCCTACATGCAGGTGTATAGGACAAATACACCATATTCAACCAATATTGCTCTGTATAAATTGGAACGAAACTTAAGGGTATGTCATTGAAGTGAAGGGAGCATGTAATAGTAAAAATAACATAAATTTATACATCATCATAGTCTGTATTTACAGTACTTTTGAACTCATTTGTTTTATCAACAGTTAGAATGTTAAGAGGAAAACGCCAATTAAACGCATGAGTAATAAATGAATCAATTTTGTTTATTGATATAGACC